CTGAAAAAGAGAACATAACTATTGTAGCTGACTTCAGACATAGCAGATAACCCTGGGGGTCTGAAACAGTTTACCACTGTCAGAGATGTGTCACTAGAGAAATAAGAAAGTGAGCAGACCTGGCTAACCCAGCTAGCTGAGGTCAGCTAGAGAAGAAACATTGCACAGTCTTAGCCCAGAAGAGAATAAATGCAGCAACTGCAATATGCACATGAATAATATCTGTGGGATCCAGCATGGAGTCCCATACTTTGAAGATACTATAGTAGGATTATACTAGTAAGTGCCACAGTAGAGTATTTAAATATAGTATTGTATGAGTAGGATACAAGTTTCTGACTCTCACAGTTGTGGTGTATTGAGCACAGAAAGTTTTGCACTCTAGCTCTGGGCTTGTTTTTGTAACTTCAGGCAAGAAAATAAACTCATTATTAAATATCATTGAGAGCACTTTGAGAACTGAGTGAGGCATCAAAGCTCATAAAGGACTTGAATCCAGTTTGATAAGAGGTTTTGGACTGCACTCTAATCTGAGAATAAGAGAGTGATATCTGAAGGGCATCATCTTGAGTTTTTAAAGTATTTGTGACATGCAGTGCTACAGGTGGCAGAGATTCAAACCCTTTGGCTTGATTAGTGTGTGCTTTTGTGTTATTTCCACAGATTGGTAGAGGTTCAAACCTTTTGGTCTGTTGAATAGCATTTTATTGTGTTTTGTGTCTTTGGATTGCATAGTTTGAATCCTGTGAGTCTATAATCAGTTTGAAAACTTATGAACAGAGATCTGTGCTCTTTGGCACTTATGGATATGTTTGTGATTGGTTTTTGCTTAGAGCACAAAGCTTTGAGTCATGTATTGTGTGTGTTAGAGATTTTTGCCTTGAGGCCTGGCAACACCTGTTGCCACCTCTTGTTTTGATAAAATGAAAAGCTTTGAGACTTAGAGAGATCTAGGACTGTTGTATGTGCACTATTACTGTTTGTGCACTGTGGATTCATTGAAGAAGACAATTATATTTGTTGATTACTACTTTTATCACATTATAATCCTCCCACAAACTAAGAGTTTTGTGTGTGTGTTAGTGTGAGTGTGGTCAGTGGATAGTGCTCTGCTGTATCTGTTTTCATCTTGTGCACACTCAGATTCTCTTCAATGGAGCATCTAGAACCACTTTCCTCCTGAAGACCTTTTATTGATGTCTAGTTCCATTCTGTTAATCTTCTTCTTTGTTTGCAGACTTCATCTCTGTCTCTGAAACATAATTGTACTGTGGTCAATGATCAAAAAGAATATGTCAACTTCTAGAAAATTTGAGAGATGCTGATTCATTGCTATGCTTTACATAGAACATGCTGGAAGAGATGAGATAGGGATATATTGAGCAATGTCACAATGACTGGTACTGAGAGAAAGCAGTTCTGAATTCTCATACTATAGGCTTGCTGTTAATATTTTGCTTGCCAAGGTCAAATACTTCTTTTCATGCCTGTCCATCCCATTTATGGCTCATCTGGAAGGCTTCCTTGTCAGCATGTGATTAGCATTTCAAGCTTCAGACTGTATATACCATATATGGCAACTGAGATAGGGTATTTTTTTCCAGTGGGAGAAGGCAGCCAATCTGAACTGTGAGTCAGTTTAGTAGGAATCATGACAGTGATGCCAACTCTGTACAGGAATGCTGAGTGCTGAGTCTTGTGATAGATCACTGGCAGAATAGACAAAGAGTCTCTCTCAGACAAAGGATTTCAACTACATAAATATGTACCAGCAAAGAAAGATCATCAAGTGTTAGCTTTTTCTTGAGTACCAGATCCATTGAATGACATATCTTCATACAGATTGTTCAGTCTGGTTTATGAGACTACCAAGTGTTGAGGTTACTGATGGGTGCAGCTTCTACACTAAAATAGCACTCTTATCACAAGCTGCAGTTTGATCTACCAGAGTGAAATGCAGAAAGTTTCCACAGTTACAGTTGAATATTCAAGTGACTGTTCACTGACAATGGACATTATTGAGACTTGGAAAATGCTTCTGTCCAGATGCATAAAGTGCTGACTAAGTAAATGAGTGTCAACTAAACAGGTGTTAATTACTATCAGCTTGAAATCTGACTACTCTTTTCTGCTAAATACACTGTGATATACTTAGAAGTCCTACTATGCTGACTTGCTTGGAATACTTGTGTCTTAACTGCATGAGATCTCACATGATAAAGAGGGTGTATCTAGCAGTGCTGTATCACAATTCAGTGAGTATTGTTGAACTGGTCTGCTGTTAGCATGAAAAAAATGATATAAGCCAGGATATATTGGTTGTTATTTGAACTTGATTCTGAAGTTTGTGATCAAGATCATTTAGACTTTTTTCAAGCTACATCATTTGATGCTTATTCTAGGGATGTGAATAGAGAGAACCAGCATGCAACATGCATAATGCCATGAGCCTGATGGGAAATCTATGTATCGCATAGAAGCCTTGAGGAGCCTGAGAGGCCTTTTTATCCCCTCTATTGCATTGGATTGATACCTTCTGTCTGCTGTTTGCTACTTTTATATCTACAACACTTAGTCAAAAACCAGTGAGCATCAAATTCTTGATTGGCATCTTTTCACACCACAGCATCCACTCATGCACATGAAGAATACTTGAATTGCATTATAGTCAACTTTGAGACTGTCATCTCTCTTGTTTTCAATTGTCATCTGCATCACAATATCAATACAACAAAAACTTCTCAAAAAAAAGTTTATTTCAGAGAGAGTATGAGTGGTTAGTGGTGGTATTCAATGTCCTTGTGCTTATTTGTCTAAAGTAGAAAACCAAAAAAAAACAAGATGGCTTTAAGTGCCAGGTCTATAGCAGCCTGACCTCTCATGTCAGGCTCTAACTGGAAACACTCCTTCTGATTGTGCATAAGGAAGAGCACTCTACCATGAAGCATCATGGCTTTACACAGACAACAATGAGGTTAGGCACCAAAAGGCTCTGGTTAATTACCTTTTCAGAGGTGCCAAGATGAATAAATATCTCCTCTTACATATCAAATGTTAATTCTAGCATTGTCTGAACTCTCCACTGTGACAATATGCTCTATCACTGCATTCATACTCTTTCTTTTCTTTCTAGTGGGGTACTATTAGTACTTCATGAGTACTAAGGCTATCTGACATCTTCATGACCCATCACAGTCCTCGATATTACTAGGCAAGCTTTGTTTCTTTGTAGAAATCAGTCAATACCTTAACAGTCCACTCAGGCCATAAATTTGAACTATATGCTCAATCCACCACTGGCAGCTTAGAGACAATTTGGCTGAAAACATATAGTAACATGTTTTGTATTAAGAGATGCTTTGCAGTAAGTGCTTTCTTGATTTTTGCTCATCATCTGACTCCAATGCTATAGCAAGACATCCTGATGACCTCTGACTCCAAATCTATCTAACACATTCTCTATGATTCTGGATACTACTACCCCAAAATGAGGGACATCATGCATGTATGAGAGATGGCAGTAGAAAGAAGCATCATAGCTGTCACAGGCTCTGCACATTAGTGCCAACAGAGGGTTCTTGGTCCAGCATTTTCATTTATTCAGTTAAAAAGTATGCTAGTGTGTTTAAGGCTACTGGTATCAGAGTTTGTTGTTACACTCTTGTAATGGTTTACTCAAAATTTACTTTGGAATCAGCTCTGTGGGAAGATCTGTGAACTTGTCAGTGAAGCTCCAAGGAAGATCAACATGTTGAAATGGGCTGGCCATGCTGCTTTAGACAATATAGGCCTAGATATAATTCTCAGTGAGAATGGAGATCTCTTCTCACTATTAGTTTTCAGCCTTCTTGGAGTACAACTTTGCCACTCTCAATAGCAGATCATCTGAAATAGCAGACTTGATTCAACATTCATTGTAAGTCAGATCAGATCTTTCTCCATTCTTATGTCTATTGCTCTGACATGTTTCAGTGCTGCCTTCTCCAACATATCACTGACTCCTCTTGTAATCTTGGCTCTGGTTCTCTGGAGATTCCTACCAAAATCAGTGCTATCCATTCTTGATAGGATACCCATGCTGAAGAGTAAGATCTTTCAGCATTTCAACACTATAGCAAGAAAGACCACATGTGAGACAATTAAGAATACTCTCCACAATGGTTCAAAGGATCTTGTGACTCTCCTAGGTGCATATATCTTTCACTGCATCTGAGAACCTGCTGAATGTAAATAGCCATAGCATCTGATAAAGATTTATTGGACAAGGATGAGATCCTCTCATAGCTGGCATAATGAGTAATTATTCTAGGTTTCACACTTTCTGATAGCTCACATGTTGCCTGTTACTTTTAGAATATTCACTCTTACTGCTGAGGACACTGTAGCATCTGCGATCTCTTAGACACTCTATGAACTCAGCTGACATCTGGGGTATCAATCCCAAGTTAGAGAAGAAACAACTCACATAACAGATTATGAGATCATGCTTCTGCTCAATGCTGCCATAAATGTATTTGTTGCTTTATTTATTTTTTCTTCAAATCAAGTTCTTATATGAGCATATAAGGAAACTCTGCATCTACATCCTCTCATCTTTATCTTTTTGTGGTACTCAGCTGAAAATGATGTCATTCCTTTGGAGCCCATTATAACACAAGCAGACCAGAGGTGGAATGAGATTTCAGTGGACAAGAGACAGATAGTGATGCTTTCAGTGTATACATACAATTGATGGAACTGAGGTATCCCTCCAACTTCCAAGGCTTATTCACTTTTGATGGCAGGCTTTTGAATGTATGAAGCAAAGATCCTGACATCTGAAATCCTGAACACTTCCTCTAGGAAAGCAACAGAGTTTCAGTCAGTCTACATGCAAATCTGTAGGCCTATTTTATTCTCAATTATTCATTATAATTTGTACTGAAAAGACCTCTAATAGCTTGAACTTCAGTTGAGCCACCATCTTTGAGATAGACTTTAATTATCTAATTAACCCTCACCTAGATGATAGTGTCTATGGATGTATAGGATGCATTCCTTTTCTCATCTCTCCTTCTCTCTGACTTCAGCTTGTCTTCTGTGAATAGATGGAAGTATGGATGCATCCAACCCACTTTGGTGATTGCTTTCCACCTGACATGGTGACACCAACAGATTAATCCAACTACAAGTTATCATAGTGGAGCTACTCAAATCATTCAAATTTCTTGATTCTGGAGCAGAAATTCTCAATGAGAGTGCATTCATGGGTTTGATACCCATCATCAAAGGAAGAGAACAAGAAGAGATGCAGGTACCAGTGGTTATAAAGGCATTAAACTTCTAGTGCTAGCACTTTCTCAGAAGCACTGTTTATATGATAATTCACAACTGTGGAGAAGGCTGAGCTAGTTGGCTAAAGTTTGCTTATTTCTTCACATAATTTGATGTTGATGGGAATACCTACCTACAGTCATAGTCTAACTTGGTCTTGAAAGAGTAGAAAGTCAGTTATTGCTCTTTGGAGAGGCTCAATGCTCAGACAATCATAGGTACTTGTACTCCCTCCTGTTCTCTTCCTTTAATGATGTGCATCAAATCTATTTCTGCTATTCCATTGAAAAGTTTCACTCCAGAGTTGAGAAGTTCAAGTGATTTGAGGAGTTCAACTGGAATGAGGAGACTTTCAGCAACCTGTATTTCCATCTGCAAAGTTTAGGTTTGAAGTATAAAGAAAAGAGCCAAAATCACACTCATTACAACCATACACACCATTGCCTGATATGTTGAAGCCAGATGAGACATGACATAGTCAAGTGAGTTGGTTGTAGAAATAGAACACCAGAAAATGCACAATAATGTATGCACTTCAGTTGCTAAAATGTATCATCATAAGATTATTATATAGCAGCTTGATCAAGATTGATCCATCTCCAAAGAGAGAAGATTGGTCCCTCAGGAATGAAAAAGTCAGTGCAAATATGATAATATATTTTATTGACCTTAAAAGGAAAGAGAGCTACCTGCAATAACTGAGATCATATATTGCAGTTAATTTTGCATAAAATAACACAATATACCAATACCATCCAGTTGAAGACATTTTGTTGATGCATTGACATGGAGCCACTGCTCTAGTGATGCTAACACCAACATCAATTTATGCATGACATATGGGCCACTTTATCAAGGAGGACTGCTGATACCACCCCAGTATCATTAGGAACATCTTGGCAATACAGAAGTTAACTTGAGTGAAATAGTGGATCACTCTGATGATGGGTCACTGGAGGCTTGTCCAATCATCCTTTCTCACTGGGCCTGCCAACTTTGCAAGCCTATAAAAGATGATACCAAGCCATGTAGACATTTTGCAATTCAGTTGTAGTAGCAATATTGGTAGATATAAAAATAGGCTTAAAAAAGCAACTGTATGAGCTGTGAATGACAGGAAAGGATGCATCTCATACCTTCTATTACTGATAACATAGTCTGTGGCTTCTATACCACACTAAAAATAATGTCCAAACTGTTGGTGGCCCACACTAATTGGTACAGCTGGAATTTAAGTGAATATATGTGGCATATGAGGAGTTAGTGATCTAAAAGATGAATCAGTCAATAAACAGGTGAAAATAATGCTTATAAGAGGCAGATATGTGACATTTTCAGCCTTGAAATGGGACTGTAGATGCATAAGCCACTGAATACACCACCAAAAAAACCATACTACATACCTAATATTGCTTAAATATTACCTTTTCACAAGCTCAGAACTTCATATAGACAGTATTGCTCTTAGAAATAAGTCTTCAAGCCAACAGAAGCCAGCTATACATGATGAAATGGGAATTTCAGTGACTATATGCATGCCAAGCAATGTACAGACAGGATCAGTCATCTATAGTAGGCTTTATAATTGCCAAAAATGATGAAATGACAGTTGCAAGACTCACAATGCAAGTTGGATATCAGTATTGAATGCAAGCAAGGCCATCCATATCATTGTCATTATCATTGAGCAATGAGACAAATATTACAGAGAGTTCCACCATATACATGCACTCAGATCATCAAGGTCCATCACATTGGGAACAGTTTGGTGACTTTCATCATCATCACATTGATGATGGTGGTAAAAGGAAGAGAGACTTTGGGCCAGGCCATATCTCTGCATCTCCATCCTGGTCAATATTAATTGCAATGGGTTGCATCTGTACCTAAACCATGCATTGGCAAAGTTCTTGACAAGTGCAGTGGGTACAGCTGATGATGCACCCTAAGGAGATGGAAGTCAATGGGCAGAATAGAAAGTGGCACAGGATGGACTTGAGAAGAATTCAAGGAAGAATTCAAGTACGAACCATCCATATATAAGTCAAATTTCAAAATATATGATAAAATCACGTCTGATTTCCGATTCCACCGTTCCTTTATGTAATGAATAGCTCAGGTAAAACACCGGTCGGGAAGTACATAATCACAACTATCCCATAGCATAACAGGCATGATAATCGTCGCTCACCATAAATTACATTCTATGGATTGATTGTTCATTTAATCAAACTCGGGGCACAAGAATACAACCAGCAAGTAAATTTACAAATCGTACAATTAGGCGAAACGCTACATGATATTACTTCAACGATCAAGCCAATTTGCAAGCCCATTAAATGCAACTTCATCATTAAAAAAGTCTGTTTTATTCAACGAGAAGAAGGTCACTCCCAATCCAGCTTCCTTCAGTTTATATACTTGCAACAAATGCTCCTTCCAGTCAGAATTAACCGGAAGGCGATAGGACCTTAAAGCGTTGGAGTCTGGAATAGACAAGACCAGCGATTTCAGCCCACATTTGTGTCGGGATATAGCCATAGGGTGCAGGTAATCGTCTTCAAATAAATATCTTACTGGAAAGCAGATATGCAGGGACAATCGCTGAAGACATGGGGCGAACGAAGGTTCTGCCAATCTTTGCACTATTTCAGTTGATGTTTTCTCGTTTACGGCAATGACGAGATCTGTGAGGGACGTAAACATCCTCATGGCGATGTCGTTAAGAACCGGTAAAGGAAGAGGCCTGTACACGGCGAAGGATCGAAGACGGGGTTTGGAGCGCTTCAACAATTCGGAGATCATTCCAAGTTCATGTACAATATCTCTGAGTTGTGAAGACTGTTGTTTAAGACAATCAAAAAGAGTCAGGTCCTCCAGTGCTGGAAAAGTACAATACTTCAGACCTGTGGGAATATCGTATCCCGGTGAAAGCTGTCGGATATTTAAATGGGTTATTTCCGGTAATGGTGCCGAAAATTTCCGCATGTCCGAACAACCGTCAGACATGCTATGGAAGGTGAACGATTTCAGTTCCGTCCCTTGCACAATACAACCATAGAAAAGGGATTTGTCAGACGTCTGGCCTAGCCCAGAGTCGAAATTGATGCTCGTGAGTTGATGAAGAGGAAGCGATAATTCGGCAAAGAAGTCGCCAGCTATTGTAACGGAGCGTAGTAAAGGAACGGAACGGAAAATACGGGAAAGCGCGGTATCAAAGTAATCTTGTGGATGATGGTTGTACATGGCAAAATACAAGCTTTCTAGCATTGGGAGGTGTCCCGAGATGTTCAAAAGGCCACGGATGCTTTCAGGACTAGAGACACAGAGAGACAGGGATTTCCACCGTTGAGATGTAGGAGCGATGCATTCTGTCATTAACGCCCATGCCTGTGGGGTGTAGCCCGAGCTCTGAATTGACATGCTAAGGGGACAATTTCTCGACAGAGAGAAGGCGGTGCGGAGGAGATTCTTCGAGTTGTATAATTCACTCCTCTCTCACTGGTATTTAGTTACATCGGTGTTCACCTTAGACCAAAGGGATGGCGATGACAACACAAGGACCCTCCATGTGTAGCATATGCTACGAAGGATGAACGGAAGTGATGTGAGACAGATCTCACTATCATCAGCTACCAAATTGAATATGTGCAACAGGACGTCAGGTGGTACGCGTCGGATAGGGGACAATAGTGATTTATTATCAGAGATCGGTCACGGTGTGATCGCACTCCTCTTGAAGACGTTGTAGAACAGATTGGATCGAAGCGATTTCCTTTTGACGAGATTGCACTTCGATATCCAGACGCTGTATTCGGGTATTGGTGGAATTGATCATGGAGGAGTCCAGGTCCAGAGACGAGAAGCCGGCACGAAGGAGTGGAAGGAGGTCCACGTCCGTGGTATGAGGTTTAATTTCATAATTGACCATCTCAAGGCGAGGAGAAGAGGATAACTTGTTCTAATAGCAAGTTAGAAGAGGTACATCGGCTTGAATGCATCCAATACATACCTCGACTTCACCCATGTTCCTTGTGAGTGTCTTGTTTACCCCTCGATAACGGCTAGGAATAGTCTTTCAGTTAACGAATCAGACGGGTTGAGAATGAAGGTGGAAACAAGGTAAGATATCCTAGAGACAATAGGGTTGCAATAGGAGATGGTGACGGTACCAAGGTACGAAGCTCGCCGGTACCTCGGCCTAAATACTTTGCAAGCGAGATGTCTCACATCCTGGTCTTTCATATGATATATGCAAAAGACGACGCAGACCAAAGAATTGCAGTCGAAACATGGAACAAGATCGGTGAATTCAGAGACCCAAACGAATTAGTACAGTATTCGAAACAGAAAACTAAATCAAGTCATCCAGCTAGAGACACCAGACTCCACACTAAACGGTGCCCCTAACCTCTGTAATATGCTGTTAACCTGAAAGCAAAGTAGAGCAGTCAAATGCCACATGCGTGAAGAAAACGTGAATGCATCAACCCGTCACCGCTCCGAGCTCGTGCAGAAATGTTATGAGCATCGAATTATCTCGGGGGCTTAGCTGCATTGACTATACAAACATGTATAAGCCAATGATTAGAGATAGCACGACGACGGCATTCACATTGCATAGGTCATGATATTCTTAGCTACGAGCCTCGAGGATGGTTGCTGGACGCCATCATGGGCTTTTTGATATCACCGTCGTCGAGACAAAACAAAGTGCGATACCATCGCTCTGACGTCCCCGACACCACATGGCACACGGCCAGACGTAGCGTCATCGATGGAGACTATCCTATCGCCATGGAGTCCGCGATATATGACACAAGGAATCGTCCCTTGGGAGCCGTATGGCTCGGCTCTCGATGGTCAACCTGTCATAGGCTATAACTTGAATAGCAAAATGTGCTTTCACACACTGCGCAATGGAAGCGAACGTGCTTGGTTCAACACATTGGCGACAGCTCTTCCTCACAGAGGGAGAAGTATTGGCGTTGTGATAATATACTTCACGTACAGCTTCCACATCCGAGAATGGTATCGTGCATTTTTGATCCCTGCGTTGATTCTTTTCTGACGGTTTGTACGAGTATACCAAAGACCTTCGGAAACTGGGCTTGCTTGGACAGCAATAAGGGCCGAGGAACGATAGTCATATCTGAGAGAAAGATCAGTACAAAAAGGTTACGTGGTTGAGCGACCAAAAGAGGTCTTGCGGCGACGAGGGCAACACCGAATTGTGAAGATGGTGGACCGCCTGAAAAGCATTAGGCAGAATAAAGACATCTCGAATCTATTGGTTAAAAGGCGGAAAACAATAGCCGAACAACGAAGGAGGTTGATGGAGGGTGAAAGCTTGAGGGTAAGCTGACCTACACAAGGCATATCAGTGAAAAACTACCGCCAGCACTTCTCCATTATCCCTCTCGGACCTAGCGATACGGTTCCAGTAATCTGTTCTGAGCGCATTGAAGTCCAAACACCAGTAAGTGGCAACACTAAGAATCCCTGCGGATAGAATGAGTTACATCATCTGTAATAACGTTGAGTACTGTGACACGAGAAAGATGTGTGTAGCGACATATGTAGGGCGGTTTCTTGTCACTGGCTTTCGACCCTCCCAGCCGGCCCGCTGAGTCTTGATTGCTAAGAGGAAGTTGGTCCTCTGAAATTCCACTTGCGAAAGGCGCGCAAAAGTAGCTCCGTAGTGCTAGCGCACTTTCTCCCCAGCACACTTTCTCCCTCCCGAACGAGCAACAATCAGCCTAAAAAGTCATCAGGAGAATCCTCCATATCAGCCTTAGGGTCTTTGGGCGCAGTGCCTTGAGGAAGTGGCAACGCTGGAGCACTACTATAGGATGCCTCTACAAAAAGTTAGTCCTGCAGCCGACCATACAAAATTCTGACTCGCCTTGTTTTCTGTATCGAACACTGGTGTCTTCCGCAGTCATTCTGATTTCACACGAAAACGAGATTTGAGGTCTAAGTAAGGCTGAGTAGCTGTACAGCGACAGTGAAGGAAAACTGGACTTCGATTAACGTCAGCTACTGCCTTTTCCCTTCAAGCTCTTCGTTCCACGCGATCCTCCTGACCCTTCCTTTATACGACGATGCTTCTGATGCTACATGTATGCCACGAGAGAATGTATGCGCCAGCCAATCATCTCGTCGTCGTCCAGCAGTGCCGTTTGCAATGACGACCCTGGGTTGTCGGACAACCATTGTCTCTCAAAGAATGCTGACAAGTCCAGTTCTAGTTCCACTGCTGGTTCACTTAATAAGAATGAGGACGCGAATTATTAATATGCACAGAAGCGACGCACCGAACTCTGGATCTGGTTCACGATATCGATTCCTAAATGTCTCTTAACTTGCAGTTTCTCGGCCCTGTCTTCTTCATCTCTTCGACCAGTGCCTCGCCCTCTAGGACCAACTAGATTTGAGATCTACCACAAACAAATATGAGTCGGGGTCGCCAATCTTGGGGTGCGAACAGTGTACGATACCCAGCTGCACATTTGGACGGAAAACCCGCCGCAGCGGTGTAAGATATAACTAATTAAATAATTAATTATTCTGCAGTGCGCTAGCACTATTTCCCTTTTTTCTCAGCCGAATTATGATGCTGATTGTAGAAAATTGAAGCGATGATCAGATCCATTTTTGTTCTTCAACTTTCTTTAAACACTGAATGTATAAATAAGTAGGAATCCAATGGAAGGATGACTAGTAGCTCTCAGTATAGGAATTGGATATACTACTAACTGATGGACTACCAGCGAGGTACTGTAATGGGGGACTCGCAGACAATCCTTGCCTTAATTCTACAAGATATATTCACGCCTCCTCTGCGTAAACCTCTCTCTTTTTTCATTGCCATACTTACAGTTATCGTATCACTATCGTGCCTCATATCTTTATCATCATAGGATCATGAAATCCAGGTCGTCCATTTATTCTCGTCTCCTCTAGCAACCTGTGCAATCTGCCTCGCTACGATTCAGTCCGCCTGCTCGCTCGGATGCAGCTCGTCATACCTACATCGGCCATCCACGTCAAAGTAAGATCACTACCACAACCGGAAATAAACAAAATGGAATGCACCCACCAGAGATAACTATCCCGATCCGTCCCGAACACCGTCGTGCACTGGACACTACCAGTCTCGCCTTCCTCTGGGTACACGCACGACACCACTGCACCCATCACATTCAGCGGCGCCGTTCCATTCAAATACATTGCCGGGTTATCATGTATATCCTGAAACAGCCCATGCGAGTCGAAGATCCCGATATGGGCACCAGGAACTTCTGGCACCAAAGCCTGCAGAATCGCGCGCGACAACGCATTCCCACTCAACACCGGCTCGCGGATAAACACGCTCCATTCTGTCGTGTTCCGCGGCCCATTGAAGTAAAAGTTTGGGTACGAGTATGGCGCATACAGGATCGTCTCATTCAGCGGGACCATCTACGCCCCGGGCCGTCAGCTGCGTTTTCTTTCTTATCGTGGTGGTAGTCCTTACATTTTGAAGCAAAAAAATCCTCGCCCCGTCCTCGTACAGTACCCGCACCCAATCTACCATACAGCCCGCCACGTCTACGATCGACGCGTTATTGCTCCCTGTCACCAACGAATACACCCCCACATCATTGGTCCCGTTCCGAGGCGGCGCGCCACTACGGGTGTACAAAAATCCGCACCAAACGTGCTCCGAACACTCAGCATTCTACGTCTCATCTTCTGAATGCCAGAACACTCGGGGCCCAGGAAAAGAGTACAAAGGCACGGTCTCTATGAAGTGAAGATCGCGATGTAGCTGGCAGATTAGTTGTACTGGAACCGTTCCTCTTTGCAGGCTCGCTGACGCAAGACCCACAACATCCAAGCGTGACAGTAAAAGGGCAACGATGGGTTCAGGGCTGACCCAGGGTCAAGTGCAGCTTCATGCATCTGTTGCTATATCCAACGACCCTTGTACGTTTCATCTTGAGCCCAGGTTGTTTAGGGAGTCATGAGCTACATCGCCTGTAGATACATTGAGTACTGTGATACAAAAAAGATGGACGTCGTAACAAACATGATGTAGCAGTATAGCTTCTTGGCTCGCTAGGTACTGGAAGAGGGGTCGAAGGCAGATAACAGTGAATCGCATAAAAGTATGTAGCTTTGTGATGCCAGTCCTCTCTCTGTCCCGACGAGCAATAATCAGCCTAAAAGGCCATCAAGGAAATCCTCCATATCCGCCTTGGGGTCCTTTGGCGCAGCGCCTTCAGGAAGCGGTAACGCTGGAGCACTGACGTAAGAAGCCTCTGAAAAAACTCAGTCCCACATCCTACGACACAAAATTCTGTGACTCGCCTTGTTTTCTTTCTCGAGCAGTAGGGGCAGTAGGCTTCTTCCCGAGTCGTTCGGATTTGGCACGAAAACGAGATTTCAGGTCTAAATAAGGCTGAATGAATGTACAGTATCGTTATTATAAAGGAAAACCGAACCTCGATTAGCGTCAGCTACTGCCTTTTCCCTTGACAATTCATCAAGCTCGTCGTCCCATACAATCTGCTCGACTTTTCCTTTGCGCGACGGTGCCTCTGACCCTATACCACGGGAGGATATATGCGCTAGGGAATGATCTATGTCATCGTCGTTATCGGGTGGTATTGTTTGCAGCGACGACCCCGGGTTGTCGGACAACTTTTGTCGCTGCAGGAACGATGACAGGTCCACTTCTGGTTCGATTATTGGTTCGCCTAGTGAAAATCAGGACGCGAATCAGTGATATGCACGAAAGCGACGCACCATCGGAATCGAGCCCTGGGTCTGACTCAGCGTATCTGTCTGCATTGGTGCCCAGATGCCGCTTGGAGAACTTGCGCTCCCTCTCGGCCCTCTCTTCATCGTCTTCCTCGACTGCTGCCTCGTCCTCTAGGACCAGCCGTTGGTGGAATTCCGCTGGTCGACCATATCCACGCCCTCGACCACGAGCACGTAGGTATTTTCCTAAGCCACCCCTGGATTTTCCTCGGCCTCTACCACGACTGGCACCGGTTGTCGATGCGGACGGACCAGGTTCTGACATCGGTTTAAAATGGTGGTAAGAAGCAGAATATTTGTTTATTTATGTATGTAATTCTTCCGTATGTAAACTCTTTATGTACACGAAAGCAACACGAAAGTTGCCTTTCTCAGATTCTGAATCTCTTACTCAGTACACATGAATTCTAGTCCATTATGCATCAATCTCAACACTACGCTCTCCAAGATGGCTCCTACCCCACATCTCATACTCGTTCCTGCAATGATGATCCTGACGGCTCTTGTTAAAGGAAGAGAGCAGGAAGGAACCCAGGCTCCTCTGATCTTGAGGGATGGAGTTGACTTTGTAGCATGAGTCTCGTCAGACGTCATCACCATAATACTCATTGCCGATCTTGATCCAAGCTTCTATACAATAATCTTATGGTGATACATCCCAGCAACTGAAGCGCACGCATTATTGTGGCATCTTCCAGCGTCCAATTCCTATGACCGACTCGCTCAACTCTCCTCCCATCCGCCTTCGTTCTCTCACTTATTCCAGATGACTGAGTTTTCAGATGACCATATTGATTTTTTTTTTGCAAGATATGTCGGAGACAGGTTTCAAAGCATACCTGCTGCACGACATGCAACCTCCCTTACTGCTCCTTGACATGTCTTCACTCCCCCACACATGGTGAATGTTTTAAAGGAATGAAATCCAACGAGATGTCGGCGTAGACCCGAATTTGAAAGCGGAAGAGTGGAACAAAAACACCTGTGGGAGATGATGGTGGGAAAAGGACTGCTCGCCGCCACAGATTCGGTCCACCAACGTCAATGGAAGATTTTCAGTCCGGCATTCTCATCGAGCTAGTTGAGGGAAGTCTTTGAGTGCGTTACGTTACGGGCTATCGGGTCAAAATTGAAGTCCTGCTTGTATGATGGAATATTACGCTGCTGATATACTTCACTTGATAGCTCTGCGGAAAGTTTCATGAACTTGTCAGTCAAGGACCGAAGGAATAAACCTATTTCAATGAACCAATAAGGCCGCACTTGATATTGTTGGACTAAGCAACTACTCTAGAAACAAAGGCAACAATTTAAATATTGCTTTCTGTATCTTTCAGATGCCAATCGGCGCTCCCGACGACAGTTCGTCTGAGATGGCAGACATCCAAATCTACATTGTATACTTTCTATCTTCTCCTACTCGCCGTTATTCGTTTCTGATTCTTAATCTCAGTACTGCGCTCTCAAAAATAGCCTCAACGCCTCTTGCGATTCTCGTTCCTGCTCTTTGGAGGTTCCTTCCAAATGGGATATTGTCCATCATCAATAGAGTACCGAACAAAGAGATTGAGATTCTAGGCCAGTTGAAAAGTATAGCGAGGCGTAGGCGCATCAGGCACTCACGAATATCCCTCGGGGCATTTCGAGGGATACAGTGAATCTCCTAGCTATATGCTCCTCCTCGAGTCTGTCCTGCATATGCCTAATCAAGAGTGCCTCTAGCCGTTCCATAGGGATGGGGGAGAATTTTTTTTCATACCGTTTTACTGACGCCCTTTTCAGGGCCGAAAAAGGCATTGCTAAAACAAAACCTTTTAAGGTTTCATTTTTACCAGCTCAAATGCACTGGCCTTTGCTGTGCGATATAACGCGCCGGTATATCGAGAGGTCTCTTCGCGTTGAACATCAATGGAGAGCGTCTAGCAGGCGGGGGGAAATGGTATTCCGGTTACCGTTGATAGGGGGGGACGCAGTCGAGTCACTCTCCATGACAAGAAAACTAAAGAATACATGAACATGATACACCATAAAATAATTAGCAATAATGCGCCCGATAACAAACCAGAGTATATCCTCCATCAAAACCTTCCGGCAACACGCTCCTCGATTATCTGTGCGACCGTTGGTCCATGGACCGGAATATTGTCTCCTTGAAATCCTTCGGGGTAGCCGACGACAGGCTCGTTCGGATACGTGCGATAACTAGTCCTCAGCGTCAGTGTCAAACAGACTGAGATAGATATAATCAATACGGACGTATTATTCCACACCGCGACATGCGACATTCCGAGCGCTCGCGTCGTCCAGTGATAATCGTGTGCAAATCCCCCAGGATAGAAGATCTCAATGACCGTGGACACCCTCGTAGGGGGCATGAATAGAAGATGCGTCAGTCCATTTCCATGCACTCCAAGGAGGATCGTCGTCCGGGCCGCAACATGTAGCTGAGCATCCCTCGACATGCGCTCAGCCTGTATCACATTGAGTTCCCAGCCTTCTTCCTTTTTCCTCTCAACCAATTCTTGCAGAGCCGTTACCAACGAGTCATGCGCCTCATCCGTGAGCCTCCTCCTCGGAGTACCCTGCCGACTGATATACGTGATGACGGCCTTATCCGGCATCGGGAGGTCGTCCCCCTCCCACCTGACGACGTCCAGACCAGCGAACTTCAACACAGACGCACGAACGGGTTCCCACCACCCACCAACCGTGAATCCCAATACCCCAGACCGCTCGCGCATGTACTCCCACGCCTCAGATGCAATCCGCTGCGTCTGACTCCCGCACAGCACACCACGATGCGCCGCGCTCCGATCAGTAAGGAGAACGAGCGGGAAATGCCATGCACGATCAACAGACGAGCCTGAAGTAGCTGCTATTCGGTCCGCCCAATCCCGTCTGTCTTCAATGGCAAGCGAGGGGAACGCTGCGCGCAAAAAGTACGCGTTGAATCCAGGGTAGTCGCGCCATCCGTTCCCATCACTATTGGCGAATATGAGTCGGTCCAGTGTGGGTGGGGCGGCATGGGTGAATTTCGCAGAATTGGTATTAGCAACGGAAGCTGCCGGGAAGGCCCCGTACCAGAAGGCTTGCACGCCAAAGAAGAGCTCAGCGACGAAGTGATAGAAGTGTCCTAGAAATTGACTCGGTTCGTTGACAAGCAGCTAATGAAAAGACTTGAAAAAAAAAACGACATGAATGCGTTTTGAGAGACGTACCGTATTCCCATCCACTGTCGATACGCGATTCCTTGCCGCTCCTCCCCAACGTTGCTGAGCCTCTAAAGGAGTAATATAATTCATATGTTGCAAAGTCGGCTCGCGCAATGCGACATTTCCTGGTGTGTTCTCTGAAGGTAGGCCAGAGCTGGTTATTAGACGGAACTCTGGAAAAGAGCGATTCGAAGAGAGAAGAAATAGGGTGCCGTTAGACATGTACAGATTTCGGAAGAGCGTCCATCCAGGAGCATGATGGATGATGGACGTGTGTGGTAGATCGCCATGGACCATCTGCGATGGCATCGAAGGTTCCGCAGTCATCATAGCAATTTCGCCCGGTTGGGCCATCATTGGCGACACATCCTCTGCCAAGATAGGAGCCTGAAAAGGCGTTTCTGGAATATGCTGGAGGTGGTTATTGATAGTAATGATATTCGAGTCCAACAAATAGGGAGGATGAACAATAGTGAGGAGATGCATCAGTGATGCTCCCAAAATCAGCAGAATGGAGTCCCTGCGAGTTAAGGCAAGTCGGAAGAGCATGGTGGAGCAAGGAGGGGGTGAAGTAGATCGGCGACGGAAGGGTTTTGAGTTTTGTACTGCTCCACCGCCGGACCGGGATCCCCGATCAGATTTTTTGCTTTAACGTAGCGGCGTTCACCAAGATTTGGGGTGTACACACTTGAAGAGCCTTGAGGAGCATCTAAATATTCCCTGAGCCGAAATTGAATCTCGAAGATCAACCCGCGATACCTAAAGATGTTGGTGCCGTTCTATAGCCGCCGTAGAAGCATCAAGAACGCGCTAAAGAATCATCTTTTCATCATGGAACAGCAACTCTGATGAGAGCATCGCTCGTATACTCTTTTAGAAAGACGTCAATTATCTGTTCCCAAGGCATTCGATTGCATACCTAACGATTACCTTCGCCTATATGGTCTTGATCGCTACGAAGACAATTCTGCGCGTATGTTGCAAAGGCATTCCGACGCCTGTGAAAGCACGAATAATTGGCTACTCCTGACCATCAACGGCTCATCAAGTTCTTTTCGAACAAAGACTTTACCTATAGTCATGTGAAATAGATCCGAACACCGCCAAGAACGTGTTCCGACCAGCTCTGGTAACGGCCAACCTGAGGGCAAAGATGGGCGATTTCTCATAGTATTCCTCCGAAATGATCCACACGGCAAATGATCCGTCTTGAAAACGCTCTTCTGGAATAAGGCAAACTTCGTATTTTGAAAGATCCAAAACCTTTATTACCTGCCTGAGATAATCGATGAATTTTGGGAACCCGCAAAGTTTATGTAAAATCTGTGCGAAAAGCGATCTCCCGTACCTTTTCTGCGTACATTCAGAAGTTTCATCTTTGCGGCGTGATTTGAACATTGGCGTCTGAAAATGAGCGACCTTATCACATTGAATTCATCGACTAAGCAAAGGAAACAGAGAATGCTCAAACACACACTAGGACTCACACGCATTATACGTTAACGGAATGCTCCAGCCACCCAGCCATTCACAGAATAGAATCCATACACCTTGCACGGTTCGGGCTTGGCTAGAAGACTCCCCCACGGATTCTTTCTAGGTCCGAGGGTACGTACTAATCGCGCACCATAGTATGCGAGGATCTTGGCGTCGGCTTCCGCTTCATGGCGATTGTAAGCCTACATTTTAAAGTTAGAAACTAAGATACAAAAGCCGTAAATGAAACTTACAGTGAAGATTGAGGGTATGCGTCGCTGGCTGAGGAATTTGATGGTGTTAGGCCACGTATCAGCGCTTTCTTCTGAGAGACCAGAGTTGAAGGCGACGGCAAGGTCGGGGTTTTGGAAGTGAGAACCAGCACCAAGCTCATGGTACAATCTACAAAAAAATACGAGTCGGAATAAGCCTGTAAGATACAGCATACGTACTCGCGACAATGCTCGTGGAAACGAGCGCGGGATTTGCTTTTGCAGTCTCTGCATGAGAGTCAAGCAACGACACCGATAATGGATGAAGCGGCCGCACGAGCATGTGTCCATGGTCATCACTTTGGAAGACCATGGCTTCATCATATTTGGCAGTTGTGGACCACAAAGAACGAGCTTATCACGCCGTCAAGGTGAGCCTGGGTGTTAACAGAAGTAGCATTACCTTGAGAGTCTTTACCTGAGGAAGTCTGTGAAGAATTTCCTCAAAGACTTGGCCAGCTAAGACTTCAGCCTCATACGCGCCGACGATCTTTGCGATATAAGTCACAATAGACTTCGTTGAAGAATGCTTACATGAATAGTCAACGTTTCCTTTGTGGTCCACGCGTCACCCTCGTTCAAGTGTTCCAATGCCCATAAAATCGTCATAGGCATCGACAGCTGGTTCGAGACCGCTCGGACCACCACAGATGTAGGCAAAGCCGCACCAAACGCGCTCCGAACATCATCTTGATACTCGTTCTCCCACGTCGCACCTTGTAGTGTAAGCCAAGCATCCTTCAAACGCTCCGGGGCCCAAGAAAATGGCACGGGCATTCCACTCATCAAGCCTGCAAAGAGAATATCAGCACGCAGTTGCTGATTGATCTGACACTGGGTCAGTCCCTCTTCGTAGGCCTGGTCCCGATGTATATGGCGGACAGCTTCCCAGTGATCGTCGCAGCAGTAGAAAGCCATTTTACAGTCTGGACAAGAAGAAAGAGACGAGGAACGAAGTGGCGAGGGTTTCATTCGGAGGAGACGGTCAGTCCTGGCGCTTTAAAGACATAAAGGTGGAGTTTTTGTTTGTGAGGATGCGTAACATACCAAGCCATGCAGCGGGGTTGGAATGCTAGCAGATTTTGTTCAGCGGTATTCAGTGGACGTCCTTCTTTGCGAAAGGGCTGCATGATTTGACTGATTTCATTTTGAACTATTTGATCACCGAGAGTATTCAGAAAGTTGATATCGGTAGATGGTGCGTCAGCGAGAGAAGAAGTCAGAGTCATGACGGCAAGAGGGTTCTTTTCTACTGCGTCCAGTGCCTTGCAGATTGCTTTGTGTTTTGGCCAGTCATTCTATAAAAATGTTCGCTCCACCGAAATCCGAGATTCTGGGGGGGGGAGGGGGGGAGAAAAAGCTAACTTTTTGGCAGTCTAGCATGTCTCATTAGTCAGAAAGCCGTTGAGGGGGAAGAGCGGTTACACACCTGTTCCACAGTATGACACGCGTTTGCAGCGTGTACAGCGCGACATCTTTGTATTCGGACCTTCTGTTTTGAGGCAGGCGTAGCAGGCTTGAGAGTAATTGGCAGTCAAAGGAGGAACACGATCCATCATGGTGGCAGAAGGCACAGGTCACTTCCCAAAAGGAGCACACGCGTTGAATTCGGCTTTCGGAACTTCGGCCCGACCTCCTCCCAATCCACGTCCCCTTACTTGAGCTCGATTCTTCATACGTTGTTCTGTGTTCTAGGTCTCCTATCCGGGGAAGAGGGGGTGCCTTTGCGGCTGTCAGGCTTTCGTATCTATCTGCGGCGCTGGACGGTCTTCGTACGCCAGCACTAGCTCGACAATGAGTCGAAGCTTTTTTTTTGGACAATTTGAAGACGGGGACTGCGGTCACTACGAGGAATCTGCCATGCTCACTGTCTCAATGCATCGAAGAACGATATCAATAGCTTTTATTGAATTGGATGTACGAAGGCTCTCTTATACTTTATTCAAGTCCAATCTGTTGCCGTGGCGTGCAGCGCCACGGTCCGGATGTCGGGTTTTTTTTGGCAACGACTTGCGCTCATTACCGCCCTTCTTCTCTATCTTGTCACTGTCTTGACAGCGGGTTGGGACGAATTTCGTCTTTATCAACGCCATCTGGGTTCTCCCAATGCGCAGAAGATAAATAATACTGCCATGTAAGTAGAAGTGGATCTGATTCATTTTGTTGAGAAGTCTGTCCTTCACGCCGCTTCTAAGCGCAGTCCATCGAAAACATGCCGCTACTTGCACGAAAATGAATTCAAACAGCTTCTCAGTTCTGGATGCAGGTCCATTCCCTTTACACCACCCTGTCAGGTGCTGTCTTCTCGTCTGGACCGCCTTTTTCGCCTTCATACCCTTTGCGTTGCTTATCGAACAGCGGTCCACCCAACTTGGATTCCAACTATGCTATGAGGATGGAGATCGATGGTGGGTGTGCATAATCTGGAAATGAGCTTCTCAGAAGTTGTATCATTCGCGGAAGTGTCAGACCGTCTCTCGCATGCTTGTCGATCTCAGTACTTGCTCCTGGTAGGCAGCTATTTGGGTGGATGACAGATGTATATCTGACCCATTGCAGGCTTTTAACCACAGCAAATTGAGTCGGGATTCCGACGGATTTTGCTGCCCGGGTCGATTTCAGTTGCATTTTGACTGACGCGCGCACTCACCTGGCAGGAGTGATCTAATCAGTGAACAATTTTCCTTCGCTTAATTCCCCTGGCGGGGGCATTAGAATACGGGAGCCCTGAAATTTGAATACGGATGTCAAGCTGGCTTTCATCTTGGAATTCGAAGTGCGCCCCGTGCTTCTGATACCATTCGAACACTTCGTAGCCTACTTCTATGACGAATCAGAATTTGGTCATGATTTCGTGCTGTGAAAGACGCGGCTCAGTAGGTACTTGCTATCACAGTGGAGTATATATAACAATATAGCACTCGGATTATCGCGTGTCCGTTCACAATCTGAGGGACAAGAATCACCGCCGTCAAAGACATAATTATCGATTTTATCTTGCATAAGCGGTCTGTTTATTCCCACCTGATTATATTTCTGAATCGTATGTCATTCATGTAGACTACACACAAGTCCCACAATGGCCCGAGCCTCTACTAATCTATATCAACCCCGAAGAACCTCGTAAATAGAAATTAGTACAATAGGCATTAATCAATTTTGGGTAGCGGCGATTGAGTTTGGAGGCTAGATCTGGTATGAATCGTTGTCCAATAAATAATCTCACGCAGTCGGTGTCTTTTACTTTGACTGACATGGCGGGAAAAGTATTCCTTTCAGGGGTTGCCAGGGTTCCCAAGGGCCAATGCCAAAGCCGTAATGACTGCATGTCAGGCACCGGAGCCCGGGAGATACCGCGGCATTGACTGTCTGCCGCCAACGTCCCACTGAGGCCAGAGGTTAGGAAGGATGATAGTATGTACTTGGAATTGAGATGGTCATGGGTGTTCCAGAGGGAATACATCGCAATCCGAATTGAAGCACGCCACACAATTCTGACCTTGTTTGTCGGGCCAGGAGGAATAGGCAGTCATTCCGCCGCTTCTAAAGATTCCATCAGGAACGAAAGAAGCATAAATGTGCCGGAACGATCACGCAGAGATGGTTGATTCCGTTTTACATATGGTGCGGAACTAACTGAAACGAGTGAGTTGAATAATAATCCTTGCGTTAGCGAAAGAAAGCTCAGGAATACTTGGAGTTCTTACGATACCTCTTGACAGAGCGGGAATAAACTTCCATACCCTTGCCGATCTGGGCCCCAGTTCATACCAGCAATTTTTTACATAAAAGGTCATCCTTGGATGGCATGTGAACGTTTGGACCGTTCAAGTTAGTGTACCAAATTTGCCGGTTCGAACTAGGACTTTTCTTATTGAAACGTTTATGAAGTACCTTAAGCGAGGAAGCCGCCACCATTCAATCAGCATACAAGTCCCAAGTGGCAGAATTACACAAAAGATGGACGTACGAAAGTTTCGGCTCGTATCTTGGCTCGATCGAGCATGATCTGAGTTAAAAAGTCACAAGAGCTTGGCAACGCCGGGCCTCGTGCTGTAACCAAATTGTGCATATGTCAGCGGGCCCCTGGACGACTACACATTCCTTAAATCAACAATCATGAGCGACGCTGCGTTTCTTTCCACCGTACCATTTCTTCGTTCTTTTTCTTTCCCCTCCGTCGCTGTCATCGACGATGAGAACACAGGATCCCAACGAAAAAGTCACCGAGGGGATCTCGGCCGACCATGAATCTGCTATCACAGCCTATGACGCCAACCCATTTCCAGAGGATGCTGAGCAAGTCGTACAATTGGCCAGGTCGTTGACAAATGCCTCTCTGGCTGGGCAGGGCCTTCGTGACGACGACAATCCATTTGAGGGTTGTACTGACCCACGCATGGATCCCCGGTCCGGCAAGTTCGACTACCATCTGTGGATTCGCTCCATTCTTCAGATCACCTCACGCGACCCCGACCGGTATCCTCGTCGTACAGCTGGCGTCAGTTTTCAGAATTTGAACGTGTATGGGTACGGGAAGCCTACTGACCACCAAAAGACCGTTGGGAATGTGCTCCTCGACTTGCCTAGGATGGTCGGGGGTTTGGTTGGAAGCAAGGGCCGAAGGATAGATATCTTGCGGGACTTTGAAGGTGTGCTCAAGCATGGCGAGATGCTAGTCGTTCTTGGTCGTCCTGGCAGGTGCGTTGCTTTTTTCTCTCTGTTCAGCTAGGCGTGACAATATTTTCTCCTAGTGGTTGCACGACGTTGCTCAAGACCATATCTGGTGAAACCCACGGCTTTTTCGTCGAGAAGGACGCAAAGATTAACTATCAAGGTCGGTTCCATTTTACGGTCGTGTAAGCTTATTTTGAGTGTCTTTCAGGTATTCCATGGAAGACAATGCACCGCGATTTTCGCGGCGAAGTTGTCTACAATGCGGAGACTGACGTCCATTTTCCCAATCTCACCGTCGGACAAACCTTATCGTTTGCTGCTCGTGCCCGGACACCCCGTACGCGTCTCCCTGGTGTCTCGAGGGACATGTGGGCCGAACACATGCGGGATGTCGTAATGGCGGTCTTTGGTCTTTCCCATACGTTGAACACCAAGGTCGGAAATGACTTTGTCCGCGGCGTTTCCGGTGGAGAACGTAAACGTGTCAGTATCGCAGAGGTTGCACTTAGCGGTAGTCCCCTGCAATGCTGGGACAATAGCACTCGTGGTCTCGATAGCGCAACTGCACTAGAATTCGTCAAGACTGTCCGGCTTTCAACCAAGTACATGGGTGCTACCGCTGTTGTCGCGATCTATCAGGCTTCTCAGGACATCTACGATGTGTGTAACGTCATGATTCTCGATTAGTGCCCCCCTAATTTCGTCCCACAGATCTTCGACAAGGCCGTCGTTCTTTATGAGGGCCGCCAGATATACTTTGGCCGTACGGAGACTGCGAAGCGGTTCTTCGTCGACATGGGCTTCCACTGTCCGGAGCGTCAAACCACCGCAGACTTTTTGACTTCCCTCACTAATCCCGCCGAACGTCAGGTTCGACCCGGATACGAGTCAAAGGTTCCGCGTACACCCGACGAGTTTGCCAAGGCATGGAAGGAGAGTGAAGAGCGAAAACGTCTCTTGCAGGAGATCGATCAATTTGACCGCGAGTTCCCCATCGGCGGCGATCAGCTTGACCAATTCCGAGTTTCTCGCAGAGCGCAACAGGCTAAGGGAATGTGAGCTGGGCCTTGCGCAATTTCGTGTTCATTACTTTCTCTAACCTCTGTCTACAGGCGCGCAAAGTCCCCATATACCCTCTCTATGCCTATGCAAGTAAGACTATGCCTTCGTCGTGGCTTCCAGAGACTGCATGGAGATATGACTCTGTTCTTCACCGCTCTCTTTGGAAATTCCATCTTGTCTTTGATCATCTCCAGTATTTTCTACAATCTTCCCAAGGACACCGGCAGCTTCTATAGTCGTGGGGCATTGCTTTTCTTTGCTATCCTTATGAATGCTTTTAGTTCCGCTCTTGAGGTTAGTTTCGCAGACCTCTATCTTCATCTCGGAACGTCCGATCTAATGATTATTTCATAGATTCTTACATTGTACGAACAACGCCCCATCGTTGAAAAACATGCTCGCATGGCGTTCTATCACCCATCATCTGAAGCTATCTCCTCTATGATTTGTGATCTGCCTGCGAAGATCCTTACGTCTATATTTTTCAATACGGTCCTATACTTCATGACCAACCTGCGTCGTACGGTCGATGGATTCTTTGTCTTCTTCCTCTTTTCGTTCATGTGTACTTTGGCAATGTCGATGATTTTCCGGACCATCGGTGCACTGTCCCGGACAATTTCCCAGGCCATGGCTCCTGCTGCTATTCTCATCCTCGCTCTGGTTATCTACACGGGCTTCACGATACCTACATCTGGAATGCACGTCTACTTCCGATGGATCAACTACATTGATCCCATCGGTTACGCATTCGAGAGTCTGATGGTTAACGAGTTCGATGGGCAACAGTATCCTTGCTCCGCTTACGTACCATCAGGACCATCATACTCTGACGTCGGCTCTACAAATCATATTTGTTCGACGACGGGATCAGAACTTGGTTCAAGCTTCGTGTTGGGCACCCGGTATCTCCAAGAAACCTTCAAGTACCGTCGTTCGCATCTCTGGAGGTGGGTAACGCCGAATTCTTCGACTGATATGAAATTCCCATGTACTGACGTCAGTCCTTCAGGAACCTTGGCATCATAATTGGCTTCATTTGCTTTTTCTGCTTCACATACATGACGGCGACTGAATACATCACCGCAGCCAAGTCCAAGGGCGAAGTGCTCGTGTTTCGACGTGGGCACCTTCCTCCCAAACCCAGCAAGGCTAATGACGAGGAGGCTGATGGCGATGCACTTGACGAGAATAAGACTTCTTTGGTTCGTCAGCAAGATCAAGCAGTTGGGGCACTTCAGAAGCAGACCGCTATCTTCCATTGGGAGGATGTCTGTTACGATATTAAAATCAAGGGTGAACCGAGACGACTGTTGGATCACGTCAATGGATGGGTCGAACCCGGTACATTGACTGCTCTCATGGTAGGACTTCGTTTTTACAGTGCGACATGGGGGGCTATCGCTGATTTTGATTGTGATGTAGGGTGCTTCTGGTGCTGGTAAAACCACCTTATTGGACGTGCTCGCTAGCCGTGTTACGATGGGTGTCGTTACGGGTTCTATGCTGGTTGATGGTCACCATCGGGACAGCTCATTCCAACGCAAGACAGGTTATGTTCAGCAGCAGGTGCGGTCCGCTTCAAACGTTTTACCGGGATGATACTAATCATAGTTTGGTGTCCTTAGGATTTGCATCTCCAGACATCAACTGTTCGGGAGGCTCTTGAGTTCAGTGCTAGGTTACGACAACCAAAGCACATCTCGGATGCCGAGAAAGTGGCATACGTTGAAGAAGTCATTCGCTTGCTAGAGATGGGATCGTATGCTGATGCTGTCGTCGGTGTTCCTGGTGAAGGTATGCGTTCATGACTTCTGGCTGGTTAGCTCGGTGTTTGATTGAATCCAATCAGGTCTCAACGTCGAACAGCGAAAGCGCCTAACTATTGCTGTGGAATTGGCTGCCAAGCCTGAGTTATTGCTCTTCCTTGATGAACCTACTTCGGGTCTAGACAGGTAAAATCCATAAGCCTCTGTGGTCACGATGAATAGTCCTGATATATACTCTGATCCTAGTCAAACCGCGTGGTCAATCTGCACACTTCTCCGTAAACTGGCGAAAAATGGCCAAGCCATTCTATGCACTATCCACCAGCCCTCCGCGCTTCTCTTCCAGGAATTCGATCGACTTTTGTTCCTCGGTCGTGGTGGGCAGACGGTCTACTATGGCGATATTGGCAAAAACTCGCAGACGATGATTGACTACTTTGAGCGTAACGGTGCTCCGCGGTGTCCTCCTGACGCCAATCCAGCCGAATGGATGCTTCAAGTGATTGGTGCTGCCCCTGGAGCTGTTGCTTCTCGCGATTTCGTTGAGGCATGGAATCAGAGCCCGGAGCTCGTTGCTATCAAGGAGGAATTGGCACGCAAACGCGAGAACGCGAAACCTATCGATCCCGTCGCTATCACCGACGTCAACGCTACCCGCGAGTTTGCCGCTCCTTTCTTTTCTCAATATCTTATCTGTACATATCGGGTTTTCCAACAATACTGGCGCACTCCTTCATATATCTATTCCAAAACGGCTCTTTCGGTTTTGACGGTGAGTTTTATCTTTTCGTCTCACGTCGCTGTCTTTTGTTCAAGGTTCTTAATCTTATAGGCATTGTTCATTGGTTTCTCGTTCTTCAAAGCCGACAATACTCTCCAAGGCCTGCAAAACCAGATGTTTTCCGTTTTCATGTTGATGACCATCTTCGGTAACTTGGTGAATCAAATCATGCCCCATTTCGTTACACAGAGGTCGCTGTATGAAGTTCGAGAACGCCCGTCGAAGACCTATTCATGGCAAGCTTTCATGTTGGCGAATATCACAGCCGAGTTGCCCTGGAACTCGCTGATGGGCGTGTTGATCTTCTTCTGCTACTATTATCCCGTGGGCTTGTACGCCAACACCTACGCGACGGACACCATACATGAACGTGGTACTTTGTTCTTCCTCTACATCTGGTCGTTCCTCGTGTTCACATCAACGTTTACGGACATGATCATTGCCGGTATTGACACGGCGGAGACTGGAGGAAACCTTGCCAACATGCTGTTCTCGCTGACATTGCTGTTCTGCGGGTAAGAGAGCCTCTTCTCCGTCAGATTCGGAATTGCGGTCTGACTTGACATATCTTTTTTTAGTGTCCTCGCTGGTCCAGACGAGTTCCCCCATTTCTGGATATTCATGTACCGCGTATCCCCATTTACCTATTTGGTTGATGGCCTATTATCGACAGGTCTAGCTAATACGGCGGCGACGTGTTCGGATATCGAGGTTTCGGTGTTCAACCCTACGAACGGAACAACTTGTGCTCAGTACCTCGCAGACTACATTGCCGTAGCCGGAGGCAGCATCTCCAATCCTAACGCGACGTCCAACTGTCAGTTCTGTTCCGTCACGTCAACGAACGCTTTCTTGACCCAGATCAACTCATCGTACGATCACCGATGGCGGAACTTGGGCATTTTTTGGGTGTACATTGTAGTGAACATCGCCGGTGCACTCTTCTTCTACTGGCTCGCTCGTGTACCAAAAGGTGCCAAAGCGAGGAACGTCTAGGAAATGTTGGCGCGATAGATCCTGGTTGTCTTTTTTTTTGTTTTAATGATTGCTGTGAGACTCATTCTCCTCTCGCATGACCTAGATAGATACCTTTGGGACTCCCTTTCGCAAATTCGCATATCTACACACACTTGATCTACACGTAATTGCCTACATGTATTAGTATTTACAATCTATTGGATTTCATTCTCGTTCTTGCTACATTGTGACCCCCGTTTTTATATCTATTTTACGCCTCATGATTTCGCTCTGGACACATCTTTCTAGCATTGCCCTATCTTTATTGATATATGTCCGTGGTAGTAGTTTACCTGTTCTTCTATTACTAACAAATTGACCTTTACGGTCATGGGTGAGTGTATGATATACTCATCTCTATCCTCCAGGTAAGGATCAACTAGTGAAGGATTGGCAGAGTCGGTTTGTTGAATGAGGACTTTGGATGTGCTGAAAGTCTGCGGTACATGATTCTGACTCTGTCTTCTATGTGAGAATAAACACTTGCAATGATCCATGGTACAGATTATCATAAAAACAGGACTTCTTCGCTGGCGAAATCCGGCGCTTCCCGGACAAATAGTGGTTTCGCTGTGTTTCACAGCAAATAATATTCAATGCTAGTATCATCAGCAAGTTTGTTGTAGATCGCATAATACCTCTGCGACCCCATCAATCTAGTAATTGTAATAATCAGAACATTGGACAGCATAACAACCGATAACAGTGACCACGTACGTCTATATAGTGCGTCTCGGAGCCTCGACTGTTCTCTGGTTGCTGTTAACATAAGGCGGTGCTGAGGAAGAATTACAGTTGGATGGCCACATTGTCAATATGGAATAGCCGTATTGTTGGCGAAACACACAATACGGCGATTCCGGCTTTGTCCACGTGGCTGTTAGCAAATTTAAATATCCTGCAGCTCTCACCACGATGATTCCCACTGTGGTGACGCTCGTTTTTGCTGTACTGGTCCTCATGCTAAGATTTCCTTTCAACCGTAATAAATGGGATCCTAAAGGGAAGGTTAATGGTATCGAATCCTTTGATGATCGTTGTGCTCAGTTTCTTTGGAATGTAGCACTGTTATGTGACTGGCGGATCCCAGGGCCTAGGGCTTTCAGTCGCCCTTCTTCTTGTCAAGCTCGGTGCAGACGTGTCCATCGTCGCCCGTAACGAAGATAAACTACGTGCTGCACATGCCGAGATGGAGGTGTGTCTCTTGTACTTCTACTTTGCTTCAAGTGGATCTAAAGCCACATAGAAAGCACGGCAGCTTCCCAGTCAAATTCTCAGATGGTATTCCTACGATCTCAGCGAGTGTAAATCGTCCGAGGCTGCATTGGAAGCTGCATCCGAAGGACACAATGGTCGTTGCCCAGACGCTCTCCTCTTGTGCGCCGGGGCGGCAGTACCAGGATTTTTTGTGGAAGAGGACGAAACGTCGATGAGAAAGGGAATGGATAACGGGTACTGGGTGCAGGCATGGTCAGCTCTGGTACGTGTCTCCTGGTGTTCTCCGACTCAGTCCTTCTTAAAACTACTGTGACTAGGCCGGCGCAAAGCGCATGGTGCGGGAGAACAAAGCTGGAAAGATTGTGCTCGTCTCTTCTTTCCTCGGTTACATGTCAATTATGGGCTATTCCTCGTATGCGCCTGCGAAACACGCGTTACGAGGTTATTTTCCCCCAACTTCTCTGCAGGCTGCTACTAATTTTTCGACTTATGTAGGCCTAGCGGAAACGCTTCGTTCGGAAATGCTCCTGTACGGAATTTCTGTCCACACATTCTTCCCTGGGACGATCTATAGCCCAGGCTATGAAGCGGAAAACAAAAGCAAGCCGAAGATTACTCTCACAATTGAAGAGACGGATGGAGGTCAGACTCCCGACAAGGCTGCTGAGGGTCTATTGAAAGGTTGGTTCTGATTACGGTTAGCATCCGGATCCTCCTTCACTGCAAGCCAGGTGTTCAGCGCGGCGATTTTCATATATCAGCGGACTTGTTAGGGAACATCTTCCGTTCTTCCACCAGAGGCGCGACACCTCGAAATCATGTGTTCCTAGATGAGATCTATAGTTTCATTGGCTGGGTACGTCTCTACTTCAGTAGAAGGACTTGGCTGATGTATTGTAGGTGATACTCCCTATATGGCGACGGTCCGTGGATTCTACTATCAAGGGACACCGACAAGAGCATCGTTCCTATCTGGCTGAGAAAGGTCTTCTTTCATAATAAGAGATACGAGGTTATTCCCAAGTTACTGACATTCTGTAATATCGTTATCTCCGAGTCTCTCGTTTATACCCACCGGATTGCTATATCGTCCTCAGGCTCGAATTAGTCTTACAATGTAGTCTTCTCTTCCATCAGACGATCCCTATGTTGGTGGTCGCGGAATACTGCGGCTCTATACTCTCGCTCTCGTAGTCCAGTTGTCAGTTAAAGCACCTCCAGAGTGTGCCAGTTCAAGCGGTCGGCTCGTTTTTGGATGCCGCTTGATACACAGGTATGATTCACGAGGCGCTACGCTGGAGAGAGGAATACATGGAGGGCATGAAGTGGCTGCCTAGGTCCACAGCAACTGCCCATATCGCAGGTTCAGAAGGTTATGCCGTGGTAAGACGATGCTTTCCCTGATACCAGAAGCAGGATGTCATCATTGCCATGACTGTTAGCAAACAACTACTTCCGTGGGAAGAAAGTCAGCAAAATTCGTTGGAGAAATTTGACGATTATTGATCCAGTACCCCTGAGAGAGCCCTGAGCATTTCCTCCATATGTCCGAGGATGATCTCGGGAGCTTCCTTCGGGGCTGTCAATGTGGAGGAAGATGACAGCATGCAGAATGATAGCTCAGTGCATCAAATGATTTATCAAACTACTTACCATTTCGGGTTGCTACAGTTGCGCTACAGGTTTATACAGGGTCGTAGGCAAGCCATACCACACATAGATGTACACACGTAGAAGAGAAATGAAAGTAGCATGGGGCACATTTTCCCAAGTGCATTGTTGACAGACTTGCTTTTCGATAATTTCAAGTCTAAGCAGATTTGCACCGATACTTCCGCCGATCGACACTGATCTGAAACCTAATCGGAAAGATCTTCCCGCGGGTACCCTCTTTATACCCTCTTCACCATTGCTGTTTACATCGACGACCTCACTGCTCGCCGTTGTAGACGACGCCCAGAGGCATTTTTTAATACTTTATACCATGGACATTGCGCATATTCCTCCATCCTCAGAGTCGGCGTCGACCGTTAAAGTGTCGTCACCGCTCAACCCTTCTTCCCCCAGACCTGAATGCCGACGGCGAGGGCATTCAGTACCAACGCTCAAAGAGCTGCCTGCCATCCCGCCATTATCTGCCTCTACCTCATCACTGGCCACCACCATTCTGAGAGACAGAGAGTCTTCCTCGTTCCGCTCGCGGCCTCTATCCATGTCGTCAGGTGTCATTGACGAGTCCGTTTGGAAAATGTCTGTCGGAACGCCCACATCTCTTGGAGAATTGGCGTCGACATCGTTGGACAAAGACGAGTTCATTCCGAAGGAATCGCCGAAGCGCAGACATGCATTGCCCGCGGAGCAGAAGGAGGGTTGGGTTCCGACTAGACAGGTGAAGATCCTGCCATTTGGAACGTAACGGTATTGCTTACGATGACTTAAGCGCGTGGATCGAGCGGAATCATCGATCCTGGGTAATGCACTCGATGTTGGCCAGAAAGTACTGATGTTGGGCGAAGTCTTCCTTGAATTTGCTCCAGTTCCAGTCCTGGAAGATATCGCGGGAATGCTGCTTCAGATATGGGACACCCTGCAGCTGGTAGATATATGTAATCTGCTTTCCTTCATTCATACCATCTCACTGGCTCTTAGATGAATCGTTTGCAATGCCTACGTCTGACGGAACGCTGTGCAAATATCCTTTTGTCGATTCGACAGGAAATACATGAAGCTGGTGACATGGTCAGCACTGAGTTGACCCTTCCTATGTCGAAGCTTGCACTGTACGTTCTTCTTCGTGCCCTACGATTGCCGTGTAATCAATTTACGTGAAATCTTTAGCGCATTTAGCAGGGTCCGGGTTCTTCTTGAGAACCTCATTAGTTTTTCTTCCCTCAAGGCCCATGTTAAACGAAAGCAGATTTTAAAGCAAATGGCGGCCTGCAATTCCAGACTACAGGACGCTATGGGAATGTTTAATGTACGTGCTAGCTACAGACACTCATTTGTTTCCTGTTAATTCGTTTTTTTAGATCTCGATCCAAATTCGTACCCTCAAGCATCTTCAGGAGTCAAACGAGGAAAGGAAGAAAGAAGCAGAGGTCATCATTGAGTCTCTGAGGCGGTACAATGCCCTTCAACCCACAGGCATACGGGAAGAGGAAACTACCCCCAAGCCGCCTGGCCTTCTCGGCCTCCCGAGTACTGGTTCCCGTACATCGCTCAACACTGGCCCTTTCAAATCTCCTTTATCTCGGTCACTCTCTTCCACATCTGAATATCACTCTCGGTCTACCCCTCTGCTCCCGGCATCTAGTTGATGAGGCCGATGCTGAGGGTCATGGTGTAGGCAGTGATGGTCCTTCCCCAGCAACGTTGTCAAAGGAAAGAGGGAAGGAAGTTGCGACTGATGACGCCGAATCTGTTTCCAGCACCGGGCACAATCGTGGTGAGTTGATCAAGATGGCGAGGAGGATTAGTATGCAGGGGATGGAAGATGTCTCGCCTGTCGCCGGAGTTCGAGTGACAGTAGTACAGACAGCAGGAGGAAATGTCAAGAAATTTCTTCCATGGAGAGAGAAGATATGTTGGATCAAGAGTTTATCGAGATTGGTATCAATGCATTGTGTAAGACTACTATGAATATGGACTTTAGTAGTGCATGTAGGCATTCCTTGTTGAAGAGCAATAATTGCAATGCTCTATTCCCAGCATGACAGAGTTTCAATTGAAGGAACATGAGTAGAACATGTGGAATTATGACATGTATTGTAATTATGTAATCAATCTTGCTTTACTTGCATTCACACAGATATCCATGGTCGCAGGGCTGCGCCTCGAGACCTTGGATTCAGGACCGCTCGATTCTTGAAGAATCTCGCTTGACATCACAACGTTGCCGTGTTACGCTATCTGAATTCTTACACATTGTGGCGAATGAGTCAAGGTTCGAAAGTAAACTTGAATCTACTAAGTTGGACCATCACTCCGTAGGCGTTTTCGTTATTCTGAAACCACATTTGGCTGACATGCTGGCGTAGTTATGAAGTCGACGACGAGGGAAAGATCGGGGGCTCGTCCTCTGATGTTTATAGGGGAACGTGGCTTGAACAAACTGTGGCTATCAAGGTTGTTGCAGAGACGACTCCAAGAAATCTATTCATCCGAGAGGTCGGGATCTGGAAGACGCTGCAACACCCGAACGTACTGGAGCTATATGGTGCCAGCAGTGCGAGTGGTGATCCACCGTGGTTCTTCGTCAGTCCCTATCTGAAGAACGGAACGTTGGTGGAGTTCTTGCGACGGGTGGACGGGGGCACGACTGGAGGATTATCCGATTCGCGGAATTCTATGGGTGCTGGCTGGAAGGGATGGGACCTTCTAAAGTTCATGCATGAGGTCGCCGAGGGAATGGCATACCTGCATAGTAACGGCGTGTTGCATGGAGATCTCAAGGTTGTCTTCTATTTATTGGTTTTGACCCCAATCGATGACCATTTAACAGGCATCTAATGTTCTTGTCGATAATGGGCTTTGCTGCGTCATCTCTGACTTTGGTCAGAGCGAGATGAAATCGGAAGCCTGTCGCATCAGTGGGATGCCCCTGCCTTGTAAGTTTCGATGTTGTGAACTCTGAATCCCGCACTCATCATTACTCTACAGACGGCACATTGAGGTGGCAGGCGCCGGAATTGATGATGGGTCTAAGCCAGCTGACTACTGAGATGGACGTGTATGCATTTGCGATGTGCTGTATCGAGATTCTGTCCATGGGACGAATGCCCTGGCCATTCATGGATGATTATGCCGTTAGGAATTTGGTCCTTGGTAAGTTACTCTAAATCTACCCCTAAAAATGTCCTAATAATTGTACCAGTGAAAGATTCTCGTCCCGATATTCCATCGACGCATTTCAGTACTTCAGCTTTGCAAGACTTGATTGGAACATGTTGGCAGAGGGAGCCGTCCCTGCGTCCAAACTTCTCCACGATCGTTCAAGAATTGAAGCAGATGCGAAAAAGCTCGGAATTACCTGAGGTCGTCTCGCTAAAATTCCCTGAATGGCGGGACAACGAAAGTTTCGAGTTCCGTGTCTCGCGTCCTAGCCCCGACATGCATCCTGTACCTTTGTTACCTGGCACGCCTCGTGAGTCTCTAAATCTCTTGGCGGGATTTTTCTCATCCATTTATAGCTCGCGACTTGACTCTCGGTCCGCTGCAAGGTTCTCCTTCAGCATCATTCCGTACCGCTCGAGACATGTCGGCCTCACCTCCAATGCCGTCTCTTCCGTTCCGAGAGGCTCCCATGAATGTCCACATGCCTGAACCCATGGCATACATTTCGTCAGCGCCTTCGAGCCACGCTTCTTCCACTGCCGAGTCGACCACCCCCAGTTTCCAGTCAGAAGATGAAAGCATTCGCAATATGATGGAATACGACGGTTATGATTCTCCACCCGTTGCTGAAGCCCGGGATGAACGCAGGTACAGGCTACTTTTGACCCACGAGTTCCATCCGTCTCGTAGGTTTTGACGTCTAGATGCATCATTTGAAATAGGCTAATCTTTGGGCACAGTCACCCTGCCATTATGGACCCCGTCTCAGGTGTACCTCGGCGCTGTTGGATACTTACAGAAGCCAGAGGGTGCCTTTGTAACCTTGTTCAACTGTGTCAATCCAGAGAAATCGCCTGATGAGCATCCGGTTGGGATGTCGTCGGTACATGGATATGGCGAGGTTACGGTGCAGATTCACCGGCCAGACCAGCGTAGCGCCGCCCAAAAGGATGCTTTTCCTAGCACATCTTCGTGAGTAATATACCTATTGACGATCAAGCACCGCGTCATTGATATCATTGTTCTTCTAGGCGACGATATTCCCACCCGCTTCGTGCCGGACATAAGACCGCATTTCTGCACACGGAGACAACAGTTTACACATATGTTGAGAACCTAGATGCGCCGAGGAAGTGGTTCAAGGCTAATGTTGACGAGATCCTGGCGACATACGGAACCCAACATCGTATCCAGAAGGAGGACCTCTTCCTGGGTAGGTGGTTCTAGATCTGTACCCGTAGTGCCTTATTCTGAGCTAGCCATTTAGTTATCGGAACATTAACTACTCCCGATTATGCGTTGTTTGTCAGTCATGGACATCCAGATGGGCAAGTGCGTTATCTGATTAATTGTTTAGCGTTATCATTTACTGACGCGACGTTCGCAATAGGCCTACTTTGATGTTCTCCCTCCTGGAAATGGTCAGCCGTGGGGTGTGATCAAAACCGACAACGAGGTTCCCTCTGAACTCGGTGGTCCTTCTTATCACGAGGACCTTCCTTTCGTGTCTACCAGCAAGATATCCAGAAACGGCTCTCGGGATGCCACCGTTCTCATCGCTCGACTACGCTTTAAACCTGACGTTTTAGAACCGACGTCAATGTAATCTACTCAGATCAGTCTGCATTCCTGCTCCCGCCTCCCATTCTTCAATCTAGCATCAGAAACACACCATACGTGTGGAATCATGACTTCTCGCATTTTACGGACTTAGAGCATATCTTACTTTGGCATTACTTATTATTGATATCCACTGCATTCGCATCCTTGTGTCCAATTACCAGATTCAACAATTGTATCTAGATTGTAATATGCCAAATCACCTGTAACCTGAAGAGATAGTTGTTGCACCAGCTGTCGACTCTGTGAACATGATGAGTAGGGAAGAGTGAAAGCGATGCCGTATTAATGCGTATTTGTTTCTCCTTCGCATTTCCGGTTCGGACTGAACGAATCAGGTGATCGTGACACGAAATGGCTCCTTACACGAAATAGCCTGCCCTAAAGTGGCAAAATCAGTGCTTGCGACAGGGGCGCCATCTTTTACTGACAACGACGCACCATGACCATCCTATTACCTGCCGAATCCGAGTCTGAATTGCTTTTGGCGAACAACGCTCCCATCTCTCCCTCCAATTTCTATGGAGAATCTAGTGCTCGACGTTCTTCACGGCTGAAAATGTCCAGCGTAGCAAGATTGCCCCTGAAGCGCCCAGCATCGACAACTGTGGAGACAGATGCCTCAGTGAAGATTCTGAAGAAGCAGACATTGGATGAGAAGAAAGCCCTGCGTGGCTTGTATATTCGCGATATTATTCATTGCTGATAAAAGACTTGGAGAATACTATTTTGGTTCATGTGAAAAAGGGGGCTCGAGATGTTGCAATGGTTAACTGTCTTCGGGCTCATTGCGACTGCCTTGAGCCTCTGCTGCCATCCCTCACCACGTTCGAACATTTATCGACTCTGTACTCGCATCACCTGCGTTTACTTCCTCCCCTGCCTCCTCTACGGAATCTCCCCTCAATAGGTCTCCACAGTTTCTACCCCGCCGTCGTAATACTGTGAACGACGCGGATACAACTGTTGCTCGTGCCCGTCTCGCAGAGAATAGGCCTACGCCGCGCACTCCCGCACGCCGCCGTGACGTCGTGCCACCGAGAACGCTCACTGACGAAAAGCGGAAGCAACGGCACGAACTACCTTTTTTTACTGAGGAACAAGAGGCGGCTTTGCGCGATTGGAAGGAAACTGTTGCTCCGTGGGATCGTCGTCGCAAGGCCATCGCGAAAGCGGACGCAGAGCTGTACTGGTATCACTTCTTTTGGTTCATCGTCGTGTTGAACTGGTCAATCATATCTGTCTCCGTCGTTATTCTCTTTCAATTCGTATTCAGGTTTGGACGTCGGCAGCTACTATCTTCCTCCTTTCTCCTCTCACTGTTTTGTTTCATTGCTCTCTCATTGTTCTGTCCGAAACATTTTTACTAGAGCATCCATTTTATCAACGGGGGTGTATATCGCTCCACCCCGAATGCATCCAACTCGTTCATCGTACTTCGCATTATTAATCCGTCCACAGGTTGTTTACCGTCAATTCCTTCCACTGCATTACCTAACCATACACAACACACAATCTTTCAGTATTGTATCATTAGATTTTTCCGTACCCAAATCCTCTGTATCTGTATAGTATCTACTAGACAGGACTCAAAAAATGGAGTTGGTTTGTTACTTGGTCCGGAATAATTAAATAACTAATTATTCTACCACCATCGCGGTCAAGCCATATTTCAATCAATGACCAATGTCGGAGCCTGGTCCGTCCGCTTCGACAACCAGTGCCAGTCGTGGTAGAGGCCGAGGAAAATCCAGGGGTGGCTTAGGAAAATACCTACGTGCTCGTGGTCGAGGGCGTGGATATGGTCGACCAGCGGAATTCCACCAACGGCTGGTCCTAGAGGACGAGGCAGCAGTCGAGGAAGACGATGAAGAAAAGGCCGAGAGGGAACGCAAGTTCTCCAAGCGGCATCTGGGCACCAATGCAGACAGATACGCTGAGCCAGACCCAGAGCTCGATTCCGATGGTGCGTCGCTTTCGTGCATATCACTGATTCGCGTCCTGATTTTCGCTAGGCGAACCAATAATCGAACCAGAAGTGGACCTGTCATCGTTCCTGCAGCGACAAAAGTTGTCCGACAACCCGGGGTCGTCGCTGCAAACAATACCACCCGATAACAACGATGACATAGATCATTCCCTAGCGCATATATCTTCCCGTGGTATAGGGTCAGAGGCACCGTCGCGCAAAGGAAAAGTCGAGCAGATTGTATGGGACGACGAGCTTGATGAATTGTCAAGGGAAAAGGCAGTAGCTGACGCTAATCGAGGTTCGGTTTTCCTTTATAATAACGATACTGTACATTCACTCAGCCTTAGTTAGACCTGAAATCTCGTTTTCGCGCCAAATCCGAACGACTCCGGAAGAAGCCCACTGCCCCTACTGCTCGAGAAAGAAAACAAGGCGAGTCACAGAATTTTGTGTCGTAGGATGTGGGACTGAGTTTTTTCAGAGGCTTCTTACGTCAGTGCTCCAGCGTTACCGCTCCCTGAAGGCGCTGCGCCAAAGGACCCCAAAGCGGATATGGAGGATTTCCTTGATAACCTTTTAGGCTGATTATTACTCGTCGGGACAGAGAGAGGACTGGCATCACAAAGCTACATACTTTTATGCGATTCACTGTTATCTGCCTTCGACCCCTCTTCCAGTACCTAGCGAGCCAAGAAGCTATACTGCTACATCATGTTTGTTACGACGTCCATCTTTTTTCGTACAAGGGTCGTTGGATATAGCAACAGATGCATGAAGCTGCACTTGACCCTGGGTCAGCCCTGAACCCATCGTTGCCCTTTTACTGTCACGCTTGGATGTTGTGGGTCTTGCGTCAGCGAGCGTGCGAAGAGGAACGGTTCCAGTACTAATCTGCCAGCTACATCGCGATCTTCACTTCATAGAGACCGTGCCTTTGTACTCTTTTCCTGGGCCCCGAGTGTTCTGGCATTCAGAAGATGAGACGTAGAATGCTGAGTGTTCGGAGCACGTTTGGTGCGGATTTTTGTACACCCGTAGTGGCGCGCCGCCTCGGAAAAACTATCGATGTCCATGTGATTTCGCGGGCCCTGAAACCCCTGTTTGAGGGCAACATCTGGATAGGGAGGAGACATTGACCATCCATGCGGGTTTATCACGTATTGCCGGTGCGTATGAGGCAAAGGTGTTGGCCGGCTTGAGGAGATTATTTCCAGATTTCCCTATCGTCATTCAGGCTCGCAGCCATTTTACCTAAGCGATGCATGCCCGTGTAAAAATGGTCTCCATGATCGTCGCAAGTGTGTGTCGCATCTCATATAGCTTATTCTCACTCACTCATATTTCGCGGATTTTCCCATGAGCTTGACTTTCAAAAACTCCAACCTTGTCGTCGCCTCTTGACTACGGTATTTCCGAGAAGAGTTGGCGCATGGCCTCACACATCAAATTTCAGACACCCTCATTTTTAACGTAAGTTAGACTCGCTAAGATTTGAGCACTGGTTTCTAACGCGCATATTTAATCATTTATATTAGGCGTTCAGCCGTTGTGAAGCGAATGCCGAAGCCCAGGTCCTCACCGGGTGAGATGCCTAACTGGTGCTTAACCTAGTTCCTACCAATAATCCATAAGGAAGTCTTTTTTGAAGCAAGCCCGACCTCGCAAGCTGTACGGATTTTACGCTGTACGTACGCAGCTGACTGAGCACCTCAGGAAAATGTGTTTAGATTACTCAATCAATGATGACTCAAATGTTTGAATGGAATTTGGACAAGGCATTTTGGGTCAAAGTAGGAAAGGAGAGCACGCTGTCGGATGTGTGTCATTATGGATCATTAGCTGCGCGGATGACCCTCTTCGCTTTTGGCTTGCTGAATTGGTCGCAGTGGCGCAAAACCTCCCAATCTCCATTTCAAACCGCGTTCGGTACTTATAAGTGGTTTCTCTAAGAAGAAATGTTTATTAACCGAAAATAATACCCGGCTGTTCCTTGGTCTCTATGGTCTGTGTCCATAGTCGCTATCTGATCCCCTTCAAGATATGGTAGTGGTGTTCCTTCAGGTATGCAATGGAACGCGCTGATAACGGTGGATTGATATGTTTTTCGTGTCTACAGGTAACGATGATTATTACCGAGTGCAATCGTGCCCATGAAGGAAAGAATAATGCTTTGGCACTGCTGCGTTACCATGGATATAAAACGGCGCGGACTTGTTTCAAAAATCGCGGGCTCGGACTATCTACGATTTCGGCTCCAGAGGCTCTTCACCCATACATTCGCCGGAACTCAAATCTCAACGGCCAGTGGTGCAGCAGTACAAAATTTGAATTCATTGCCTCGTCTGGTCCCCTTTCCCCTCATCGACTCCTCCGTCATGTTCTTCCGACCCACTTTTTCTCGCAGGGACTCTATTCTACTAATGCTGGGAGTGCTGTTGACGCGTCTCCTCGCTATCGTTCTCTCTCAGTCTTTCTCGGATAATAATATCGATATCAATTCCCATCTCCAACACGTTCACGATGTTCTCCTGCCTCCTCCATCCTCGAGAGAAGATGTTTCGCCTGAGGTGACCCAGCCGGGCGAAATTGCTATGATGACTGCGGAATCTTCGATGCCATTGCAGATTGTCCACGGTGATCTACCACACACATCCATCGTGCATCATGCTCCCGGATGGACGCTCTTCAGAAATCTGTACATGTCTGACGGCACCCTATTCCTTCTCTCTTCGAATCGCTCCTTCCCCGAGTTCCGTCTAATGACCAGCTCTGGCGTGCCCATGAAGAACACGCCAGAAAATGCAGCGTTAAGCGAGCCAACATCCCAGCACATGAATTACATTACTCCTTTAGAGGCTCAGCAACGTTGGGGAGGAGCGACAAAAAATCGCGTATCAACTGTGGAAGGCAATACGGTATGTTTCTTGAACTCAGTTGATTGCCTTGTCTCACGTCACGCTCCTAGCTTCTCGTAAACGAATCGAGTCAATTCCTGGGACACTTCTATCACCTAGTCGCTGAGCTCTTTTTCGGCGTACAAGCCTTCTGGCACGGGGCCTTCTCGGTAGCTTCCGCTGCTAATACTAATTCTGCGAAATTCACCCATCCCGCTCCGCCCACATTGGACCGTGTTATATTTGCCAATAGTGATGGGAATGGGTGGCGTGACTACTCTGGATTCAACGCGTACTTTATGCGCGCAGCGTTCCCCTCGCTTGCCATTGAAGATAAGCAGGAGTGGGAGGATCGAATAGCAGCTACCTCGGGATCGTCTGTTGATCGTGCATGGCATTTCCCGCTTGTTCTCCTCACTGATCGGAGTGCTTCCCATCGCGGTGCGCTGTGCGGAAGTCAGACTCAACGGATTGCATCCGAGGCCTGGCAATACATGCGCGAGCGCTCTCGGCTCATGGGGATCAAGGTCGGTGGGTGGTGGGAGCCCGTTCGTGCGTCTGTGTTGAAGTTCGCTGGTCTGGACGTCGTCAGGCGGGACGAGGACGACCTCCCGATGCCGGATAAGGTCGTCATCACGTATATCAGCCGGCAGGGTACATCGAGGAGGAGGCTCACGGATGAGGCGCATGACTCGTTGGTAACGGCTCTGCAAGAATTGGTTGAGAGGAAGAAGGAAGAAGGCTGGGAACTCAATGTGATACAGGCTGAGCGCATGTCGAGGGATGCTCAGCTACATGTTGCGGCCCGGACGACGATCCTCCTTGGAGTGCATGGAAATGGACTGACGCATCTTCTATTCATGCCCCCTACGAGGGTGTCCACGGTCATTGAGATCTTCTATCCTGGGGGATTTGCACACGATTACCACTGGACGACGCGAGCGCTCGGAATGTCGCATGTCGCGGTGTGGAATGATACGTTCGTGCTGATTATGTTTGTTCCTATTTGAATTGACGCTGATGCTGTGCTATGTACCAGTTTTTACACGCATCCGAGCGAGCCTGATATTGACTACCCCGAAGGATTTCAAGGGGACTATATTCCGGTCCATGGACCAACAGTCGCCAAGATAGTTGAGGGCCGCATTGCAGAGAGATTTTGATGACATAAAATGTCCTGACCCGTTACTGAGTCCTGCTTATTATTGTTAACTACTATTCGATGGATTCTGAATTTATTTGCCGTACAGAAAAGTACTGGGTTGTCATGAAGTAATGAACATCCGAAGAGGGAAACGCGTGGCAACCGTTATCGATGGCCGTGTATTCTCTACAACACTTCCCGTTACAGTTCCCGACATACTTTAAGTTTGATTACTGCAGCGTGAGTGAAACCCTCAGATCTCGCCTCGTTCCTACATGATCCCTCTCCTCTGGCCTTGCATGAAAGTAAGTCGTTTGTCGTTTGTCGTTCGCCTGAATCAAGAAAAGTGTGGGTTTTTCGACAGATGGATATTTTTCACCGTGATTAACATGGTGACACATATCAAGGTAATCGAGAGAGCAATACACGAAGGTGTCCTGAAATAGCAGGCATCATAGATATGCTTAAGCGCCAAGGAACATCCGGCCCTCCATCAAAGCATGAAAAAGACCCTGGAGCTCATTGCTTACCCCAATACTCACCATGGACGACATAGACGAGGCAACATCTGCTCTCATCGCCGAGCTCACACTCCAAGACATCACCGAAATATCGGGCACTCTCAAGGGAAAGCAGCGAAGCGACATAGCAAAAAGTGTTGGAGGATATCCGTACGTTTCATCTTATCTTACTTTTTGATCACACGCTCTATTTGCCTTATATATACTTACACCTCCTGTCGTTTCCCGATCACCTATATAGTCCAGCCGTTCCTATCTGTATGCTTCAGTCGCTTCACCCACGTTGTGCCCGACTGAGATACTCACATATATTCTTCTGTCAATAAAAAGTGATGAAGAGTATGCCTTCGACCTTCAGGCAGACTATTGGCGCGTGGAGCTGGATTTCCAGCTAGCGCGAAGCCTGAGCCGTGCCTTGGAGATGGATGAAAACTGGTTGACGGTAGCACAGGCTGGCGAGGACGATCATAGATATGCGCTCGCACTGTCGAACGGTGCAGAGCTTCAAGCTCAGTCTGCGAATCAAAGGCTATTGGAGGATCCCGCTTTCATGAGAACGCTGGCCACACCCTCTCCCGACCCGGCGATCCGTGATGATGCCGTTTTCGAAAGGGATCTAGCTTCGACGATGACAGCGCCTCTCTCAACAAGACCGCCTTCCCCATCTACCTCATCCCAATGTGTTATATGCGGAGACCGTCTCCGAGCACAGCGTAGCTTCCGTGCCCCATGCGGAGATCAGTACTGTCATGGCTGCCTCCGGGACCTCGTCCAAGCCACTATCAGTGACGAATCACTCTACCCCGTCCGATGCTGCGGCCGACCTCTTGTCGAGAGGGATTTCTTGCCCCTTCTCCCTTCCGCTTTACGAACACGTTTCCAAATAAAGTCCAGAGAACTCGGAACGCCTGCGATGAGCCGCGTTTACTGCCAGAACCCCATCTGTTCGGCTTTCCTCGGTTCTTCAGAAGGGAGCGACGGCGATATGGTGTGTACAGCGTGCGGAACGGCTGTCTGCCCAGCATGCAAGCAGATCGCACATAGAAGAGAGAAATGCGTCGAAAACGCTGCGATTCAAGACTTGCGCGCGCTAGCTCGAGACCAGCAGTGGCAGACCTGTCCAGGATGTCACTCAATTATTGAGTTGAACTATGGCTGTTACCATATGACATGCAGGTGCCTCACGCAGTTCTGCTATGTTTGTGCGGTACCATGGAAGAATTGCTTATGCCGGCAGTGGGATGAAGGTCGATTGTATATCACTGCTCAGCGGAGGGTGGAAGAGGAAATGGGACCTCGCGCCGTGGCGGCTGCACCAGATATTTTCCAGCGAGAGGTGGAGGCAAGAGCAGAGCAACTCAGATCCAGCCACGACTGCGTTCGACACAGCTGGAGAAGAAGAAATGGGGGAGCGAGATGCGAAGAATGCTCTTGGTATTTGCGGGATTATCTTCTTGTAAGTTATGGTCCGAATTCAGCTGACAGTATCGAGCATGCTGACTCTGCATTCACTATGAATCAGGTCTGTCTCCATTGCGGAATAGCAGTATGTGTTCGCTGCAGTCGAAATCGGTTGTTGTGAAAGGGAAGAATGTCACTACCCTCGGTAGAGATTTTTGATAAAAGTTTGAGTTCTTGGTAGAATAGGTCCTTGTGTCAGGCGAACTGAATGAATTGTAGCAAATGGCTACTTGTGCACTGTGCAGTGAGGCTCCGGGAAGCTGCTGCCAAGGTTTGTCCGGAAATTAGCATATTTTAGACCCAAAAAAATGCGAAATTTGGCATATTTGAGAGATGTGAGAAGGGATCTGCCAGCGGTTTTAATCCTGCCAATGCCTCTGAGGATTCCCTTCGCGACCTTTGTGATGCATGTGATGCCGCGGGATTCGGTCTGGGTAACCAAAACACATTCGATGAAATGTACCGCAAGTCCAAAAAGCTCGATAACACCCAATTTTCTAGTAATGTCAACCTTCGGACTGCAATATCCTCGACCAGGCGCGGGCTGACCTAGTTGAAGGCCAAGACCAAATTGAGAAAGTTTTACGCTCTGAGCTGTACAAGCTGAACGTTTACTGTAGGAACATTTTGTGTTAGGATAACGAAAGCTAGGCTGACGTGTTGGATTTTTCAGGCGAAGGAGACTTTTTCGAAGGACACTCCTCGTGCTGAAAATATGATGGGATCTTTTGTCATTGTTTTCCCCGCTTCCCACCAGGGAGGGTCGCTCGTCCTTCGCCAAGACCGCCAAGAATGGGCGTTCAGCGGAGAACGGATGCTTGCTAAAAGTACTGCTGAGGCACCCGTTATTTCTTACGTCACATTCTATAGCGATGTCGAGCACGAAGTTCTCCCAGTCACATCGGGCGTCCGAGTGTCCTTGACTTATAATCTTTACCTCGAGGACAAACTCCCAGTTCTTGGCTTGCTCTCGAGCACCGAAAGACCTGTCACTTACCGCGTCAGAGACGCCCTTCAAAACCTTTTGGCAGCTTCGGATTTCCTTCCTGAAGGAGGCATGCTGAGGTTCGGTCTCCGTCATCAGTATCCCATCGCCATGTCGACAGACACTGAAAGAAAAGTGAATGAAATTTACGGAGACCCTAACGTTGATCGTCAGAGTCCGAGTGCTAGTAAATCCGAAGAAGAGGCAAAAGAACAATTCAGCCGGTTGGTCGATTACCCGAAAGGTGGCGACGCGAGCATTTTTCGGGCTTGCCGAAGCCTTTCCTTGGAGCCTAGCCTGCGCATCATCTACCGTCCGCGAGATCACGGTCTCGTATACATGTTGGATCATGTTGTTCGAGATATTGAAGAGCGGGGGGAGTTGGAGATCGATTACCTTGATTCCGAGCTGCAGAAGTGCGGAACATTGATATCAGCCACTGAGCACTGGGCGAGGCCTCTCCGCACTCATAAGGGGAGTGCAGCATTGGCAGAGATTGTCTGGGTCATCCCATTTAAGACGTTTAACCGTATGGATTCGAATTATGTCAGGTATGGGAACAACGCTTCTATGGGCTATCTATACTGCGATATTCGCCTTATTGTAAAAGTTGGAAAACCCGGAAACTGGGCAACTTGATGCCCTTTTTGGACATCTTCACGACGTTGTGCAGTACTTACTTAGCTAGGTTGGGAAATATTTTCCAGTCTACCCATTCCTACATTGCTGACTGGGTTGGAAGAAGTAAAATTGAGTAAAATCGTGCTTTCTACCCGTTTTATGACAACTCCTTGTAGCCTAAGCAGGCGAGCATCAATTGTCTCGGCACCGTCCGCAGCCTTTCAGTGACAGACTCAGTTGCACGCTTGCGCCTCTTCCACAAATTATCATGTTCGTCGCTTTACAACGTCCTGAAGTTGAAACCATCAAGAAGACTCTCACAGAAGTCAAGTTCAGTCATGGCTTGCATCAAGTTCCCTCGGACAAGTTAGTGCTCTTCTACACCAAGCAACACGAAGAAAGTCATGGAGTGTCTCAGTACGTCCATGTATGCCTCTTTGACACAATGCTTATTTCCCGAAGCTTTCTGAATCTGGCTAGCGCCACGGAAGAATCGCTTCAGGATCTCTGCAATGCTTCCGACCCTGCAAGTTTTGGTCTGGAAAGCAAGGACACGTTCGATGAATCATATCGTAAAGCAAAGAAACTAGATTCCACCCAATTCGCTTGTACTTTCGATCTCCAAGCTGCAGGCATACTTGATCGAGTACAAATGGACCTTGTCGAGGGATGCAACGAGAGTACGAAGGTTCTGCGCGCTGAACTGTACAAGTTGAATGCCTATGGTATGAATTTATTTGAATATTTGTTTCTGAACATGAATTTGAATCACTTGGGCCGTAGCTAAGGGAGACTTTTTCAAAGCTCACAAGGACACCCCTCGTTCCGAGAATATGATAGGTTCTCTGGTCATTGTCTTTCCTACCGCCCACAAAGGTGGCTCCTTTGTTTTACGTCAAGATGGCCAAGAATGGACCTTTGATGCTGTACAGATGCTTTCCGACAGTACGCCCGAGGTCCCAGTAGTCTCGCATGTTGCTTTCTACGGCGACGTAGAACACGAGGTTCACCCCGTAACTTCAGGCGTTCGTGTGACATTGGCGTACAATCTTTATCTCGAAGACAAACCTAACTTGACTGCCAATGCGCCTAGTGATCCCACAACCGACATCGTGAAGACTGCACTCCAAACCCTCTTGGCAGACGAAGCATTCCTTCCGCGAGGGGGTCTCCTAGGGTTCGGCCTGCGTCATCAGTATCCCTTTGCGATTTCAAAAAACCGCGGAATGAAGCCTAAAATCGATGGTAACCCAAATGAAGATTATAGTCACTATATCGACGACGACGAGCTTGTAGAAACGGGGCGGAATCGACTTCGCCAATTGGCGGATAGCCTAAAAGGCAACGATGCCAATATCTTACGAGCCTGCCGGGACCTTGGCTTGGACGCGAATATCCGCATTTTGTATCGACCTATAGGAGAGGGTATTGTCTACATGGTTGATCATGTCATACCTGATAAAGATGAGGGATTGTATGAGGGCAACGATCTTGAAGACGTCTTGCTCAGAAGAAGCGGTACTCTTGTATCGGCCCCTAAGGATTACGTGACGAATCAGTACAAGTGGTACAAAAACGTGGTGGAATTGCCAGAGATGGTTTGGTTGACTCCGATTACGATGTTCAACCGTACAAATTCCAGCTTCATTGCGTATGGGAATGAGGCCTCCGTGGGTTATCTGTATGGAGACGTCTGTCTCATCGTTAAAGTTGGGAGGCCCGGTAGTCGAACAGAAGATCGTAGTACATAGTAAGGTAGTGAGTGTGGTAGCCGAAGGACTTGCAGCAAGTTTCCATTTGCTGGACCATAGCGATATAAATTTCGCGATGCACAGAACCAGCTCCTCCGTGTCCGTCGGTATCGGTATGCGCTGTATCCTGTCTGCAATGGAAGGAAAAGACGAAGTAAAAACGTTATATAAATAAACGTTAAATTAGACAAAATGAATGAATGAATGACTTGACTCTCTACGGATGCGCACTTGGGCGGCTTGTACATTGAAGTAAAAATATTGCTCCGCTGCAAATTGCATTCCAAAAAAAAAAAGTTAGTACAAAGGTATGTTCGGCATATTCGGCACTATGGAAATTGACACTCCGAAACACGCTCCGACACGTGACGGAAATCATTCCAGCCGATGGCAAAGACGAGCTCGTCGTCGTCCTCGATGCCTACCGTGCTTACTTCAGTACCCTCGATGGGATCGCCATCGTTGGTGCAAGCGCCTGGCGACCCGGTCCGTGCTTCAGTTGGCCATTTGCTCTCTAGGGCGTACACGCTGCCCTGCTCGACTGCGGCACAAGCTTTTATCCAGCTTGTGCAGCCAACTTCACGATTTCAGCTGGCTCTCGACGTGTTGTTGCCTCTGCTGGACCCAAATACTTCATCGGAGGTAAGTCTGGTGTCGTCGGTACCGTTCATATAATCTGATGAACGTCCTTTACAGTTTGCCCAGCGGATCTTGGTCTCGTTTATCTTGTATTCTCTGTATGCTCCTCATCCTATCTCCATCAATCCGTTCAAATCTGTGCTCTTTGCTACTTTTGTTTATGAGCGAGAGAAAGCAGTCGCTGCTGCCAGCAAGGGCGACATCTCGGTCAATGAACAACTGGTCTGGGTGCTATGGAAAATTCTCAGAGGTGATGGAAACGACGTAAGTTTCGTACATGAAGAACGGTTCTTGTATTAATCAGGCTGTAGATTGGTCCTTATTCTCCAAGCACGCTGGCAAAATCGCCTCTACCGCCCAAACTTAGAGCGACTAATTTAATTCTCGAGGACGATATGTACAATAGCGAATCCGAAATGTGCGTGTGATGTTTCCTCCGTCTCTTTTGTCTCTGATTATTATTTTATAGAGACGATTATACCCCCCTATCACAACAGATTACCACGATCGCAACGACAAATACGACAGTGATCACTGCTGAGGAAGATGCTGCCAATGGGAGCATAGCTCACGCGATGAAGCTTCTGCTTGATGCCCGGGAACGAGTTTTAACTTTGTCTGAGCAACGGGTGGGTTACCCAACTTGCTAAACACGTCTGTTTCTTCATTACTTGTGCTGCAGGCTGTGATCCCATTCATTCATGCACTGGCTTCCTCACAAATGATCACTCCTCTGGATCTGGCACCTATAATCACTAATAATCCTAACCTTGCACATCCTCTCTTCGTTGCCCTCCTTTCAACTGGACCATCGGAGAGTAATCTACCTTCACCTTTCCTTGACATCTTGCCTTCTCTCCCTCCCACGCTCCCGGCGTTTGACTTGATGGGTCGTCTTCTACGTGATCCCACCATGTCCACCGGCGGTTCCGTTACCATTGCCGACCTTGTCCGCACCGAAGTGCTCGGTAGGTTTGTGCACGAGTGCATCGATTGGCTCGACCAGGTGGAGCTTCAGGAGAAGGAAGGACTCGTCAGCGATGACCGCTTCGCCAAGGGTGTCCAAAATGTAGGTTGCCTCCTCTTCTGTGCATGAGGATATTAACGCAAAACAGCTTTGCCGATTCTACATGTCCTTGATCAAGGTCACGCTGGTCGACGCTGCACTGGATGCCGATACTGCCGAAATGGCGCATTTTAGCTTACGTCACTCACGATTCGAAGAAGCCAACCACTTATATCGGGTTTTGGCTACTGGGCAGTCGTGATCTATCGTCTCTTCACTCTATGGTCATGGACTATGCTTATGTTTATGCCTCCGGACTAGCGTCGCCTTTTACACTGTACTGTACCACGTCCTTCAGCTACCGAAGATTGTATCTCAAGTCTCGCCACGCACACATGTACTCATGTACTCATGTACTCAATAATGGTCAATTATATGTCAATGTTACAAACATACGTCTCATCTCATCATTACACGGCACAACAAGGAACCCAAGTTGTTGTAGACCTTGAAGTCCTATAGACGGGGAACTAGAAATCAATGATGGCCCCCGTAGTAACCAAAACGGTAGACCGGAACCAAATTCTTTCCACCGAAGCTTATTGCGACTCAATACTAGGATCCATGTCAGGGCTTTTCGACGGTTTTATTTTCACATCAAGGTACTTAATAGCGCAGGTTGAATACGACTGTTCTTGGCATAATCACCCGTATGAGGTACTTCCCCCAACCTATGCTTTTCAATCTGTTCGACTTCCGGGCTGTCCGACTTCGACAACGAGACAAAACATCGCCGTATAGGTAACCGATAGAAGACTCGTTCCCATATGCGATGTAGCTCGACTTAGTCCGTAATCGGAGTAACCCAAACAACCTCTGGCAGCTTTATGGCTTTTTCATAATAGTCGAGCTGATTCTTGATATAATCGTCGGATGCCGACGCAAGAGTCCCACTTCCTTTCAGCAACATCTCCTTCCGTTCTTCGTCTGTAGGTAGTCAGTCGTTGTTGGCTGTAGAACAGGGAGTGGGATTGCGAGGAAGAGGGAGATGTCCCTCATGCAGTGAGCTGTAGCTACTTATATACTACACTACGTAGGTGGCATAACCATAATTGTAGTGTACAATTCAATGGACAATGGGAGTGATACAAGACCATGTAACCAAGCCAATGAGCAGAGTCTAGTGGCACCAAACCCCCTACACATCCCTATAATATCCCTCTTCCTGGCCCGGTATGATATGGTCAGTCATGTAGAAGACATCCCAGCCTCGGAGTCGGTAGAGAATATGAATGTTGGTGTCCAAGCCAAAGTCTCGACAGGCTCGTAGGCATCACTCCCTTTGAGGCTATCAACCCTGACGCAGTTGTGTGCACCCTTGCGTTACAGCTTTGTTCTTAGGAACATAGTCGTTGAAATCCTGTTCAGGGTCGCCGTAGAATTTAAACGAGTTCATGCCACGATCTTTGTGGACCGCGAAAGGGTAGTGGGCCCGCAGACCAAACTCCATCAGGCCTCCCTTGGGAAGGTATTTTTCATCTTTCAAAAGTTTTGGAGAGCCTTCCTCAAAAGGTCAGCTGGCGTAGGATTGCTAGAGGCTTCAGCGACAAGGGAGGGAACGGTCGCTTTCTTGTCTTCGAGATATAGATTATACGTTAGGGTTGCCCGAAGTTATGGGGAGAATCTCGTGCTCCACGTCGCTATAGAAAGCGACATACGATATTACCGGGACCTCGGGCGTACTGTCAGAAAACATGGCTCCTACTTCGCCAAAGCAGACCGTGATAGCTTGGTGGGGCAAAATTTGTTTATGGTCCACAACTGACTGCAAAGATGATGTCGAGATGGGGGGAATAACCGTAAGTGCCACTTAGAATACTTGGTCTACGCGTACAGTTGGTCAAAAATATCGCAAGGAAGTTGAATACAGCTCTGTGTAGCTGAGAAATAATAATGTATTGCCATGCTGCTGTCAGATCCCTGAGAACATCTCATGGGTTTAATACTGACATGGGGACGAGGAGATAAAAAGATAAGTATTTAGGATAGGTTGACGCTCATTGTCCATAGGTTGCCCGTAGTCAAAAATATCGCGGACGTCATGAATGATGTCGTTCCGGGGGAGACGAAATAAATAACAGAGGACAAAAACAAGAGATAAGGGAATCAGGCTACAGAAAGGGGAGGATGCTTGACGTCCATGCACTGCGTGATTAACCGGGTACACATCGATGAAGGAAGAAAAAGAGAACGAAGATAACCTGGCAGGATTGCACTGCATGAAGCGGAAGTGCATGAGCCTCACAGGTTACAGAAAAAGGGGGCCAATGCTTAACGTCGACCGCATAAGTAACTAAGTACGCATCGACGAAGCAGGCAAAAAAATGAGAAGGAGCACCAGGAAATATAAGAAGAGTATCTGAGCAGTCTTCGGAGACGCAAAGATGACAGTAGGTCCTGCTCGCTGGATGCCAGTGTAGCCAGGATATTTTGCAGCATTTCAACAAAGCGAATGTCATGTATGTGTGGCGCGAAGCTTCTCTTTCTTCGCATATCGTCGGGAGAAAATAAGGAAGAGGCTCAACTTGACCAACGACGGTAGAATAACGAAGAATGAAGGAGAATAACAGCATGGTCACCCAAAGAGGGCATAGGCAGTTGCTCCCAGAATAGTAGCTCAACAACCCGACCCCGCACCATGTACATCAGGAAAAGCGCAGGGGACAAGGGGTTGAGGAGCACCAGTTCGAAGAAGTTTCGGGAAAGGCGCCAGGGAAGGGCAAAGATATCTCTATTAAACGAATTTCTCGTCTGTTTTGGGGGACTCCTCCTTCTTTTCTACAGCGTTGACAGCATCTAATACTTTGCTCTCTACCTTTTCCGTGACGCTCTTTCCCCAGCCCATAGCCTCCCTGAGCTTCAGGCCCGTTGACTCTTGGATCTTGTCAACAGTCGTCTCCACGCCTGCATCGAACTTTTGCTTTCCGTTTGCAGCAGATTCCTGCAACATCTCCAAGCCCATCCTAGTGTGCGCGTTGGCGACGGCATGCTTCTGTGCAACAGTTGGGAAGTAGGTGTCTTCGAGCGAGCCAAGATACTCGGAGATGTTGGCGAACGTTTGTGGGAGGAAATGGTTCATGGAAAGGACGAATAATGTAGGCGGTAGTATTAGACGAGTGACTAACAAACGGTTTCGCGCTATTATGGATCCGCTGAGGGTTGCAATTCCCACATAGAGAATTCCTGGTGTTATGGATTCCGTAGGAGGGATGAGAGCTTTCACCCGACCTACACAAGTCGCTCAGCTTTCGTTAACACTGAAACGAAGCTATTAATCACTTTCAATAGCATGCTCGACACCAATCCACTTGGAAACTACGCCCTGAACTTGCGAATATGCGTCCGAGTATGTCTTGGTGAACTTCTTCCGGACCGTTCCGATTTGTATCTCGAGCGTTGAAGGGGTGTCCAGCAACACGATATCGGGGGAAGAGATAGGGTATATGGGCAGCTAGATACAGCCTGTAAAATAGAGAATATACAGATAAAATGAAAGAATGCACCTTGTCTCTTTCCTTCTCAACTAGCACCACCACTGTCCCCCCCACCAAGGGTGCTGCCTTCAAAAGGGACCTCCTTATCTGAATGTGAGTAAGTAAACGGCGCAAGATGGGTCTGGATAGGCAGCAACATACTAGTGTGGCAGACATGAAGGCAAAAAGTATCGTATGTGACGGCGGAATGCGTCTTGTGGTCTGGACGGCCATGGCAAACACAGGCATATAGCGGCAACTCCGCACCGATTCCCGAACAACTGGTAATTGTTCATTTGCAACAGATTTTTCATCCACTTACAAGGGTACACCGCAAATGAAATCCTTCAGGCTCATTAATGTCGCACTGATGTTTCCACCTCAACTCTCATAGCCTTATGTCACCATGGCACTATATGATTCATTCTATTCCTGAGTGCCAGACTGCCAGGCCAACTACTCATGGCGAGATGTAGCATAATCTCTATAGTAGCGGATAGTTGAGCCGTTTCTCGCAGGTTTATCCTTGGCCACAGCCTACACATGACGAGTAAACCCGTGGCTGTTATCGCAGGTGAATCTCCTCCGCAATCCTAGCAGTCAATATTACTGACACTTTGGGTTGCTATAGGCCTTGGTTCAGGTACTGGCACTGGCGCAGCAACAGAGTACGTTTCCTGCACTCCTGCTTCAACTTTGATCGTCTGACCAGTCTCAGTCGTTTCTTCGCTAAAGAAGGCTATGCTATCGCTCTCATAGCTCGCCGTGCTGATTCTCTCAAAGCCCTCTCGGATGAGATCAATGCTGCCAGCGGGACCGACGAGAAGAGCAAGAGAGGGTCCTTGATCTTCACAGGAGCTACGGCGAGCATCAGAGGGAACGTCACCACCAGCGTGTTCTCCGCTGGGAAACACGCTTTGAGGGCGTTGTCGCAGAGTCTGGCGAAAGAGTTCGGCAAGCAGAATATCCATGTGTCCCACGTAAAGCACTGTCTCCTTTCCTGTAGCCGGTTGTGTTGTTGAGGCTGAATGTATGACATAAGCAATCATCAATGGGAGCATCTTGACCAACTTATCTCGACAACGTCGTAACAACCCAGAGTGGGAACTAAATGAAGATGTTAGGCTGTCTCCTGAGGGTATAGCAGAGGCATACGGTTTCCTTTTTCATCTTTGTAGCAGAGGACCTGTGCTGATCTACATTTTTAGTCCTATTTGCACCTCGTTAAGCAGCCTCGGTCGACTTGGACGTGGGAGTTGGATTGTCAGTCCCCTTGATCTTCGCTTCCAATTCTTCCCTGATGTATGTTATTTTAGTACGTCCCGCTCACGAGAAGTGGTAGAGAATTTGATGGGTTGACAAAGTCCAATGCTATTGTACTATAATTTCAGTTTTCTTCTTCTGGCGTTTTCTCCCTCTCACTGACTCGATGTACTGGAAAAGCACATGCACCCGTTCCAACGATTCACGCTTGCGAATCTTCATGAATTGATCTCGTGGTGATGGGCCATTGGCAATGAGATGATCATCGTTGTACTGCCACTACAGCCTTGCATGATATTCTCCATCTGGTCCACCGTATCCACCGCGATCAAGCAGTAGGACATAGTCTTCCATAAGGTTTCTATGTTCAGCAGCTCGATACAGGTGTTACACTTCTTTATTCCAGGTGGATGTACCAGCCAGGAAACCACTGGAACATGGTATGATCAGCATTTTCATAACCGGAGCGAAGAAATTAACCTACCTAAAGACGATCTTCATCATAATTAGAGAACTGGTCTGCAACCAACAAAGATGTCATTGGTTTTCCATTCTGCCAGCCATTCTGTGAGCTGTAAAAGGTCATGACAAGTCTGAAAAAGTAAGAGATTGACTTACAGGGGAAAGGGGATTATTTTATGTGAGGTACTGTATGACATCATCTGAAGGCTCACCATATATGTTACGATTTTTCCTTTTCTCTGTCCTTTTACCCCTATTTATGCTTAGTCAGAAGGCATAGGACTGTGGGAGGGCTTAGTCAGCACAACTAACCCACCCATCAAGTTGACCTCAATAACAATGCTCGACAATGCACAAGCATCCTTTTATGTACAGTAATGATGCTCAAGGACAATGGGCACTATGGACACAGACAAACACAATTAGTAGTTATATTATTAGTACTATCTGTAAAGTATTTAAGACTGACCACTCTCGCTGGTATACCTCAGCTTCAAGCTAAAGTTTATAACTATACCATTCTACTCTTGAGCCATTACTGTGGCCTTGTGACACATTGATCTGAAGACATAGTCCAGTGGATTCAGGTGACCTCTTGAAGTGCAAAGAGGCATCTGTCTATCATGTGTCTAGGATCACATGATGCTTGGATCTAACAATTAGCTCAAAGCTTTCACCTTCCCTTTCTCAAGCCCAATTGTGCTGAGAAACTGAATGCCTCCAGCAACAACTGCTGACTTGAATTATGACTTTTTTGAGCTTATAGCTTCTATTGTTGGAATTGTAGGAAATCCTCGGTAATGCACAGGATAGACTCCAGGCTGGTAAGGCCAGATGGTATGAACTTCTTATTCTGCAGCTCCTACAGAGCTTGTATTTATACTCTCCAAGCTTGTATCTAGAATTTACTACAACTTTCTCTTTCTCTCGGGCTTACTCATCAACTCTCGGCATGATGCTGGATTGCTCTTTCTAGAACTTTCCAGCAAAATCCCAACAGGAACACTGCTCAGACTTCTCACCATTATTACCCTCTGCCGTGGATGACAATCAGTAACAGCTTGGATAGTCAGGCACTATCAAGCATTTCAGCAGATACAACATATACTACGAAATGTAACCCCAGACCTCCCCTTCCATGACATCCCCGTCTCCATCAGAATATCCTTCCAGCTGCAAGAGTGACCCTTATCAGAAACTAGGAATAACAACTCATATATGGGGAGCCTTCACAAGGAAGAAGAACCCCAGTACCCCCCTTGACGATACAGCAGAAACTGCCACTCTGCTCTCACAGGGTTCCAGAACCTGTGGATGACCAATGTCGCCTAGGACCCTCAGGAGATCTCTAACCATGTCACTTCAACAACCTCCATCTCTGAGCATCCCTCCTCCCCAGTTCCCTCAGAGATTGGAAACCATGCTCGGGACTCTCTTGATGCCGCTCAGATGGCTCCGAGATCCCACAAAGGCCCCAACCTCCCCTATGACTCTCTCTATACCCCCACCAAGCCAAACTCTAACTCCAGCCAGTCTGTCAGCAGGCTGGAGGTTGAGGACCCACATGGAAGAATAATCTACTCTGACTATGTGAATGTTGAGATTGCCATCTCTACAGCAGAGGACCCCTATCGACATCTCCATGTTGGGAGCAAGCCAGAAGCCGGAACAGCCAGTGCAAGAGGAAGGATTGCCCAGAACAGGATTATCCAGCAAGTATTCCTGGACTGGGATCTCATGGTCTCTTTTAACTACAACAATGCAGTATAGCAGCAGCAGCAGAACCAGGCCAGACAGGCTGAGATCAGGCGAGCCTAGGAAGAGCTCGCTGAGTACATACAAGACAAGGCCCAGGAACAATATGAAGCCACAGAGTACAACTGACAGGGGAGAGAAAGAAGGAGAAGAGAGGAAGCTGAAGGAATGGGATCAGCCTCCTCAGGCTGGTACAGACTCCACTCTAACACAGGATCCTCATTTAGGGAGCCCGACTCAGACTCCGATCCATGGACAGGACCCGCTAGTGTTATCAGTTGGGATGAAGCCATCAGATATGGGCAGGCCAGTAGCAACCGACTCTCTACTCTCCAGTACCCCATTCAGATCGACACCATTTCCTCAGATGCTGACTCTGTACTCGGAGCCTATGGGCTCTGAGTACCAGACAATGCCTACATCTCTGACAGGGCCCTCCAGTGATTCCTGAGAGACAGAGTCGCTTGCCAGTTCCTCAATCCTGAGTTTCAGCATTACTTCAGCCTCTATAGCCAAGAACTGGAGGAGACGAGAGCATGCAGAGGAACACACTACAGCCAGCTTAATAACCCTCCCATCCATCAAGTGGATGACTCCAATAATGCCAGGCCTAGCATCTAAAATGGCACAAGGATCCCCGATGACACTATGACCAGCCGTACCATCCATCTATGACCTGCCCATCAGTTCCCTCCTTGAGGAAAAGGACAGCAGGGGCAAGAGTGATGAGAAGGGCAGCAAGGATAGTGAAGGACCATACGCATATGAACAGTTTTTCGAAAGGGTGGGTGAAGACACAGATGAAGAAGCCTTAAAAGAAGAAATTGAACAAGCAAGGAACAGAGAGTATCAGGAGTTGTACAAGTAGAGAAGGAACTTTTTATGGTGAGATGCGCACTGGCAGGTGATGTCTCTAGGACTGGAGTATCGGTATGCAGAGGACACTGAAAAAAGAAAGATTTTACAGTATGCTGCGACCGAGTATGCATAGAGGGAATATAGCTGACAGCACCCAGAAGACCTGCTTGTGCCGATACCCCCATACCAACTCAGCAACAAGCCTAAAATGCCAGAACCAATGCCACAAACCCCATCCATCCCACCAAAATGGGCCATATACATAGCATCATCAATCTGAAGCTGGGCTGAGGTAAACTCTTCGATCTGAAGCATGGCTTCTTGGCTTAACTACACTCGAGAACAGTCAAACCAGCTGGCACAACAGCTAAAAGGATTCCAGAATCCCTGGACCGGCAAAGGAAGCCAGCTCCTAGGAGCACAGCCACTGTCAGATCAGGCAGGAGGAAGTGGTGTGGACAAAGAACCAATATGAGATGATCCTGAGGCAGTTCAACTCGGGTTTACAATACAGGATGGAGTCATTGTACGAAAAAGTGAGCTCCCTCAAGGGAGCCCTGTCGCCGATGATAACTCCCTGCACTCCTTCCCTACAGCCCCACAAGAGTGGCACTGTCTCCCCTTCGAAGAATGGCCCAACCTAATAGGAGCACTGCCCTACGATGCTGCCATTCTTCAATGTCACCCTGATCTTCTATGAAAGCCACGACCTTTCAAAGGAGCATCAGATGATATTGACCGATTCCTGGTCGACTGTGAACAATACTTTGAAGTGTACATCAGGTATCTAGAAACTGACATGAACAAGGTAGCGTTTGCCACCTCTGTTACGTGCATCCTGCCAGCCTCCATGTCACTTCAACTAACTGCAAATTCAATCATGCTACCCACCGGACTCTGACTGCTTCTCATTACCTACTAATTTCATTTCACCAGTATCATTTCACATCCATATTTCACATTGTAATATCTAGACCCCAAACTCGGTAATGAATACCGACACCAGAACCCAATAGAACCTGACTCGGAATTAGCTACTATTAGTATATAAAGCCATGTACATCATCGTAGCTACTTAGTTTGAATATCAACTTGGATAAGCCACCCACACTTTGCACTCACTTCAACTCCTCACTACCTCGTCTGTTGGATTCTGCTCTGAAGGACATTCTGGTTCACTTCTCTGACGAATCTCTATCCTGTCCATCCAGATCCTTGGGCCCCGACTCAAGAGTGACATTGCCAATAGCTTCGTTGATGCCCATGCACTCCACCGGACTCCACGAGTGCATTCAAGCCCACTCGATTGGCACATTCCTAACAGTATATTCAAACTCAAACCCTTGAGTCGAAAAATTTTATCATGTCTACCACATTTACCCAACCCACAGAAACTGATCCCGAACAAACCCAGCCTACCCATCCAAACATGTTTTCCATGGAAGACATTCTGGCCTCTGCCTCAAAGGAACAACCAGGCCTTTTCAGATCAGCCTCCAGTGGAGGACAACCTTCCCGTAGGGAAACCTACCATCACTCTAGCTTCACTGCCTGCCAACCTAATTATGATGATTCCCCTAACCCTTTCGACGCCACCAGCATCCCAACCAATGGGGCCCAACAGGCCAGCCTGATGTATAGTGCCCGAACCGACCCCCCAATAAACCCCTTATCCCTGGGCAACATGCATGAGAACCCAGACAGCCCAGACTCACAGGGC